AAGTGCTATTTGTCAAAAAATCGCATCTAAAATTACAATAATTCTTCAATATCATCAAATATCGAGTTCAAATCTTCCTGTTTTTTTTTAAACAGATGTTTGTTCAGATCAGACTCCAAATAAAGTCCATTCCCTACAATTGGTTAATATGTTGAAGAAACTGCGGCCTTTGTCCTGTAGCTTCCCACAGTCTGGGTTTTGTTGATTGCATCCCAATGGTGTTATTTAACATGCTTCTTTGTTTTCTATAATTCCTGGACATCGGTAATCAAATCTTGAGACTGGTCAGACACAGGTTTTATTTTTCTAAGAACTCTAACATGAATAAAATCATAGGTGGTGGTGTATACTTGATCAGAGGCTACAGGTCAGGTTGTCTGTCTCTGTGATGTTAGAAGACACTGGTGATTTTTGCCTAGATCCATTATTTCAAAATGGCAACCTTGTATCAATTTTTCTTCATTTATTAGATTGACAACTTTGAAACAGAGCAAGTTCCCTTCATGAACTAATTTGTTACCCTGAAGTCCAATGATGTGATTTAGGAAAGGCAGCCTACACTTTCCCTTTTCTCACTGCCTATTTACTTTGGAAACAGGCTTATCTGAGTGCATATTTTGTCTTTAATGTACTTAAAGCTTGTCCTATGTTTAAAACCAAAGTACATTTCAGAATGCACTTTTGCACTGTAGTGTAATATGAATAGATTTATCATTAAATGGAAATAAAGGATTTAGTTCTAACACCCTTGAGTTGGACTGTACTGAGAAGCATTCAAATGTTTAACAAGCAGCTTCCCAATGTTCAGATGCATTTCACAAAAGCTCATAAACTATTAAACTCTTTTCTGAAAGGTGACCAACTAAATAATTTATAAAAACAAAGGTTCAAGCCAGTGCAAGGATTATTACATCAACTGTCTAGTCTCTTTTTCTATTCAAAGAAATAACACAGGAGTGTAGTGTCTATGGAATCAGACAGATGGGATTTGAATTCTTCTTTACTTGCTATGGTGAGCTTGGGCAAGTTACTCTATAATCCCAAATATATTAATATAATAAGAGATTCTGAAATATCAGTGACTATTCTAAAGCATACATTTCTAAAACATCAGAAAATACATGTGCATTTAGCAAAAGCGAAAGTCTCTTTTTTACTACTTTGTTTTTCTTTGCATTTTGAGGCAGAGTGTTGTTCTGTCACCCAGGCTGCAGTGCAGTGGCACCATCTTGGCTCACTGCAACCTCTACCTCCTGGGCTCAAGTGAATCTCGTGACTCGCCCTCCTAAGTAGCTGGGATTACAGTCGTGAGCCATCACGCCCAGCTAATTTTTGTAATTTTAGTAGAGATACGGTTTCTATGCTGGCCAGGCTGGTCTCGAACTCCCAGCTTCAAGTGATCCACCCACCTTAGCCTCCCAAAGAGCTGGGATTACAGGCATGAGTCACCAGACCCAGCCTATCTTTTTTATTACTTTGGTTGGGGTGGGGATGGGTTAAGCAATATTGCAAACTGCCAGATATTATTAATTACGAAACAGTAAAAATTGCTGTACTGAGAACATGTCATCCTTGATTCTCAGTGCAGTGTTAGTGTAGTCAGCTTTAGACTGAAGTACATTTTACTTCATACTAATGGAGTTGCACGGCAGACCAGGGAGGTCTACTCCAGGGCATCCCTTTAAGGCAGAGTACTAGACAAATGGTAGAGCTAAATTTGCCTTTGGTTCTGCTAAGAGTATAATGGAAGACTGAGCATCAGTGAGACAGATATGCACTCTAAATTGACTAGAAAACAACCATAACACAACTAAACACTTCCCTTCTATTACTGTTAAATCTAGCCCTCTGCCTCAACCTGCCCTGCTTTTTTCCCCCTTCTCCCAGATTGAGTCAGTGCTACTCCATCCCTAATTCAGATCCCTGCCTTACTGGAGCCCTGTTATCCCATAGTTGTTGTATTTTTTGTGACAGTGCCAACACATAGTTGTTAATTCATGGGGCATCAAAATGATTTCCAAGTCACTAAGAAACAAATATAAACACTGAAAAATGATTCCCATCCCCTAATTTTCATGGGAATCTATGAATTAGAAAGATATGAAAATTGAGATAAGTAGGGGAATAGTATACAAATTGTTAAAAAAGATTTTACAAAGTATAGTTTATGTTCATATCTTGTCATTACCTTAATTATATTAGGCATAATATAAGTTTTGTGGGCACTGTCTCTTTAGAATTACATTTTTACCAACTTTTTATTGATGTGTAATGCACATACAGAAAAGTAGAATTTACATTATTAAGGTCTTTAAATAGTGTCACATGGCCATGACTGCCTTATTAATTTCTGTTGTGATGCAAAATATGATTAAAATTGTGAATTCATGTGTTAGAACATTCTCAACTTTAAAGTAGCATTAAGTTCAGTTGTGGTATGCTGCATCAAACTTAGTTCTGAGTAACGCCTAGAACAATGCACAGTATTTTATATTGGCCAATAACCAATGTTTTATAACTCCTGAACAAGTGGATAAACTGAATTCAGTATGAAGTTCAATCTAGATCTTCAAGGTTATATTTTTCTACTCATATATATCTATCTGTATATAGATATAAATGCAGCGAATAGTGTTCTTAACAACTATGTTAACTACAGAGAATAAAAAGATTTTGCAACAGAGTTGGAATGGAAACAATTTCTAAGATAGAGATCAAATTGTGTTTAGAGAACCATTATTGGCAACTTTGCTATCGGTCATTTCCTGTGGGAATATTTCACTGGGACATAGTTTTATGCTTTGACTATTCATTAAATAGCCTGGGGCCCATGGAATGAAAATATTGTAGAACTATAAATATCAATATATGCAAATTATAGTGTAACATTTCATCACATTTCATTGCATTTTCTTAGATACGAATTAAGATTATTTAACAAACTGTGTCTCTTACTCATCGCAGAAAGAATTTTAAAACAACACTAATATAGCATGGTCTAGTGGAGAGTTAGGCAATAGACTGGAACTAAAGCCACTTGTTCTAAATTAAAATTGATACTAATTCAAAAATGTTTATTCATCATGTACAATACATAAGATGCTAAATTTATACTCCTGTAAAGAATATAAAAGTCAATTATAAACAGTTTCTGCCCTTAGGGAGTTTATGAATTTTCTTGTGAAGGAGAAAGAGCATGTATACAAATTGTATACAACAAAAAACAGTAACTATACTATGAGTGGGTGGGAATAAAGTACTATTGAAGTTTAGAAGAACTTGAGTTCCTGTCTGGAGATCCGAGATGACTTCATAAAGAATGTGGTTGAGCCAAGTTTTATTATTTTATTTTTATTTTTTTGAGACAGAGTCTCCCTCAGTCATCCAGGCTGGAATGAAGGGGCGTGATCTCGGCTCACTACAGCTTCAACCTCACAGGTTCAAGCGATCCTCCCACCGCGGCCTCTAGAGTAGCTAGGACCAGAGGTGCACACCACCACATCTGGCCCTTTTTTTTGTTTGTTTTGTTTTTGTTTTCGTTTCTCATAGAGACCAGGTTGTGCCATGTTGTCCAGACTGGTCTTGAACTCCTGGGCTCAAGCAATCTGCCCATCTCGGCCTCTCAAAGTGCTAAGATTACAGGCATGAGCCACCCCATCTGGCCTAGAGCAGAGTTTTATAGAGTGGGTAAGATTTCTGCAAATCTTCTCTCTTATCTGCAAATCTCAGATGCAGATACAATTATTCCAGGAAGCGGAGACTAGGTACTAATAAAAGTAGTATAGTCAAAGCACATTCAGAGATTGGAGCCATTGGACAACAAAAAAACAAAACTGACATAGGAAAATATACTGCAGCTGGAAATAAGGTAAATTAAGGCAAAATTATTTCATTTTATTCAGTAATGCAAGCATTTATTTCTTCAACAATTTTTTCTTAAGTATTTGAGTATCTACTAAGTGCAGGTACTGTGCTAGGTGTTAGTACATTTGTAACTCAGAAAAAGGCCCTTTCTACTATGTAAACACTAAAAAAAGTAACTCAAATCAGGGATGATAGCACGACTGATTCTTGTCAATCACTGAATCAATTAATCTCTGGCAATGAGGGGTACTTTAGTTTGCAACTGCTACCCAGAACCTGGAATTTAATGTTTTTGGGAGATGGCTGGTATTTCCAGATTACACTGTGTCTCAATTTCAATTCAATTGCTTCTCAACTCACTATTTAAATTAAAATGAAGTGTTAGCTTTTTTATATCAGAAAGCTGCAAACCTGATAGTCTTGTAGGTAGGGTGATGGGGGACATTATATTCGTGGCTTCATTTTACAAGTTTTGGCTGATGTAAGAATTAATTTTGTTAGTATGCATTAATTGAAAGAAAGAAGGAAAAACAGATTTAAAAGCGACATCGGTGGGTGGGTTTTGCTTTGTTTTTAATAAAAAGACTCATAGAAAAGGAATCGCTGCAAATTTCTTTTAAATAGCTAGCTCTCTGGGCAATTAAAATGATTGATACATTTCTAGAACACACACACGGAGATACACCTGCACTCATACTTTGTCCGTCAAAACAATCTTTGTTTTCTCTCAAGCTAGGACTTGCTATGCCTAAGACACACCTCGTGCAGGGGTGGCGGTGAAGGTGCTGGGGTGACAGCCAGGAGGGCACTTTCCCTTTCTCCGGCTCCCTAACCAAAACTTTGCAGGTACCAGCCCAGACTCACGTTCCCGCTCGTTCTTCTTTCCTCTGCCTCAACTCTCTCCGCACTCCTCGCGCTCTGTGCGCCCACCCCTGCTTCCGTCGATCAGCTTCAGCCGACCTACTACCCACCTCCCGGCCTGCGACCTCAGCCTCCACCTGCACCACTCGCCCACCCCGGGAACCCACCTCTGCGGCCCCCAGCCCGCGCATCCCGTCGCGGCCCGGGGCTCCGGGGCATGCGCGTTGCGGCTCCACAGCCCTCCCCCACGCCTTCCCGCGGCAGAGTTATGCCAAGTATGTGAGGAGCCGGCTAGGGCCAGCGCCGGTCATGGGGAGCCGCCGCCGCCTCCGCCTCCGCGAGCGCGGTTTTCTCCGCAGCGGGTCTCCGACCTCTCCCCACGGCTGGGGTGAGCCTCGCGGCTAAGGCAGAGGAGATGGCGGACCCTCTGAGGAGGACGCTGTCCAGGCTCCGGGGAAGGCGGGGTCCCCGCGGCGCCGGGGGGCTAGGGCTCCGGGCAGCAGCGGCAGCTGCGGTGGCGGCCTCTTCGGCAGCCGCGGGAGACGCCTGGGGTGCCGCAGACACCCCCCAACGTGAGCACGCCGGGGGAGCCGGGCCGAGCCTACAGCAGCCCCCGCCGTCACCTGCGGCGTGGGGTCCTGGCGCGCGGGTCCCCGGAGGGCACCCGGAGCAGTCGGGGGCCCTCGGGCCTCGGCCGCGCTGTGGGCAGGAGGCCGCCCCCTGGAGCCATGCCTCTCTGCACGCCCCCGAGGGCTCCGAGGGCAGCGGAGAGGAGGAGGAAGGGGACGAGGACGAAGACGACTACGACGCCGACTACTACGAAAACCTGCCCGGCGGCTCGCAGCCTGCGCCCGAGCCTGAGGGGGCGGAGGCGGAACGGCGTCCCCCGCCTCCCCCAGCGGCGGGCTCCTCCCTGGGGGCGGAGGGCGGCCGCCTGGAGACAGGCAGGCTGCGGACCCAGTTGCGAGAGGCCTATTATCTGCTGATCCAGGCCATGCACGACCTGCCCCCTGACTCGGGCGCGCGGCGGGGCGGCGGGGGCTTGGCGGATCACGGCTTCCCCGCGGGAGCCCGGGCTCCCGGCCAGCCGCCTTCCCGCGGCGCTGCGGACCGCCGAGCCTGTCCCCGAGACGGGGAGCGGAGAGGCGGCGGACGGCCTCGGCAGCAGGTGTTCCCGCCCCGGTGGCCTCAGAGGGAGTCGGGGGGAGGCCAGCTGCGGACTCCTCGGATGCGGCTGTCCTGCAGCAGAAGCCTCGAGAGCCTCCGGGTGGGTGCCAAGCCGCTTCCCTTCCAGCGGTGGCCGAGCGACAGCTGGATCAGGTGCGGCGCGCACGGGGACTGGGACGAGCCCCCGCCACGTGGAGGCAGGATGGACGACTGGAGTGGGGACCGCGCCCGGGCGGCTGCACCCACCGACCTCCAGCCTCCAGGCTCCAAGGACCACGGCTGCTCCTCGGGAAGCCCTTTCAGGGATACAGCGGGGTCCTCTGTGATACGCAGCGGCAAAGGAGACCGCCGGGAAGGCCCCTCCTTCCTCAAGCCGCCTGCAGTGACAGTCAAGAAGCTGCAGAAGTGGATGTACAAAGGGCGTCTGCTGTCCCTGGGAATGAAGGGTCGTGCCCGTGGGACGGCCCCCAAAGTCACAGGAACGCAGGCAGCCTCCCCAAATGTGGGCGCTTTGAAAGTGCGTGAAAACAGTGTCCTGTCGGTGCCCCCACACCAAAGAATTACGCTGACAGGTAGGATACTTTGCGATCAAATAGCTAGCACCGCGAGCTTTACTGTTTATCGAGTGGGCTTCTGTCTTAAAAGCCAAGAAAAAGGTATGTTTTTGCAGACAGGTACGTTACCGGGCTAAAGTAAGTGTCATGTAAGTGGCAGCTTAAAGTAATTTCGAGGTTACTTAATATAATGCATTTACTCCTTTTGCTTTTTGTTTTGTTTTTTAATCAGACAGTGGCATGAAGAATTGGGGTTGTGTTTCTTCTCGAAAAACCAGTGTGCCTATTCCCTAACTATTACGTGAATGAGTAAAGGTTAAGTTTAACACACTTTTAGTAGGTTTACAGATGGGAGGTACTGTCTTGATTTTTTGTTTTTTGTAGCTCTAGGCAAATCCATAGACTTTTGTGGAGTTTGTGAATTTGAATTTGATTCAAAGTAGATTTTATAGGCTTCATAAACTGTCATTTTACTCATTACAACTTTTTTTTGTCTGTCCCAGGCACGCACACACATGCATACATACACACAACCAAAACCCCAAACAAATCAAACAAAAAAAACCTACCATAAGTAGAATTTTTTAGTCAGGTATTATTTCACATACACCATCTCTCCACCTGCCTACCTTCACCAAAGAAACCCCAACAAAGTAAGTAATCTTTTTATTGTGAAAAATCAAGGACACTAACATTTTAATCAAAAGAAAAATGTCCCTTAGGTACTTTTTTTTTTTTTTAAAGCAGTCATTTGCAAACTTAAAATCTATTTATATGAGAATTAGTTTTTTAAAAAGTATATTGATCCTTATAATAGGATTATGCTCCCTATTTTGTATGTGCATGATTTTTAACTATCACTGAAGGTTAAGGTTATCAATGCTAGAAACCTGTGAATTATGTTGTAAATATCAAAATATCTTTCCTGAAAGGAGTATAATATCTTCAAAGTGAGCCAAAACAACATGGTCTTTTGAATACTCTTACATATAAAAATTTTTAGTGAGCATAAAGACTTATAAGTCAGGAATAATTTTGAAAACATTAAATCCTGAAATGTAAAAGGTATTCACAGTACTTGGCTGTTTCTCTGTTAGTAATTACAAATCATACAGGACTGGATTTATACACATTAACTTTGTTTAACCAATAAACACACAACAGTGGGGAGAAACAAAGTTCACAAAACTTCTTATCAAACAATGAAGACAAATCAAATGATTCATTCAAAGTGTGTGCCAACTTGCAAAGTTTTTTCCTGTCTATACAGCTCTAATACATACCTGTCAAATTTTTTCTCAAGGTTAAATATTCCATTTCACTTGAACAAAAGGATAGTAGAATGTAAATTCTTTAAGAGAGGTGTACTTTATACTAAGTTCATATTCAACATGCATTTCCAGGAGTAATTTGTAATCATTTATTATATGTTATTGCCACAATATTTTTACTTCCTCGACTTTGGCTTAGTTTTAACTCTTGGTACCATAGTTGAATTTCATCCATAACAAAAAAGAGTCAAATATTTTTCACCCTTTTGTTGCAGTGCTAAAACATTTACCATGTGATGGCTTTTAATGCCCTCAGTAGTAAACATTTAAGGATTTTTAAAGTAATAAATATAGTTCCTTTAAGAATGAATTTGATTTTTGCATTAAGCAACTAAGTGAAACTGCTTAGAAATTAAAATGAAACAGAATTATATGATAGTATTTTAGATATTTTATGAGAAATCTAAGCCAAAGCTACCATAATCTCTGGTTTAAACAACTCTCAGATGTTCCTTCCTTTTAAATCACTAATTCATCTTTCAGGAGAGATGAAAATAATTTGTGCAGTGTTTACATATCTAGTATAGATTTGGAGAGCTTTTTAAAAAATTATTTTTCATAAAGTGTAGTTGGTCTTATTAAGACCATCTGGATACATTAGGTGGTTCTCATATAATTTTTATAGCCCCAAAATGGAGATATGCTGTCATTTAATAACAACAACAAGAAAAAGAACAGAGAGATTAAGCAGTTTGCCCAAGATCACTCAATTGGTACCTGTATATGGATTCAGACTACTATGTGGATTCAAACTCAAGGTGTCATAAGTTTGAAAAAAGCCCCTATTTATATAAGATCAGAGACTCGAGAGTTCTTTAAAGGTCTGATCCTATTCATTCTATTAAATTGCTTGGATTGAGGATATGGGTGAATTTCAACAAGGCATAAGGGGTAAGTAACTTCCTCAAAGTTGCAAAGAAGATGGGAGACTCTTAGGCTAAGTTTAAGGATATTTTAAAAAGTAATTGCTGTATCCATTTTAAACTTTTACCTTTAAATATTTACTTATTTCAAATTGATGTTACTTGACTTCTACTTTTAAATCACGTTTTCTGCAAAACTTACTTGGAGCGGTCTAGATGAACCAGTACATTCTTGTTTATGTAAATATGTTAAATATCCGAAATGGTTTATAGCACATTTTTCTGTACAATATTATTCATGGGATATTTTCTGTCAAAATAAAATTATATTTAGAATTTGTAATACCGAATAATTATTCAGTGAAATGGAGATACTTAATCTGTATAGGTATTGTGAACATTTTTGAGACTATATGACAAACGGAAACACAAATGATTTTCTATTTTGATTTCTGGCTCCTACTAAGAACTTTTGATAGTATTATAATGCCAAATGATTTGATGCAGTTAAGTATGTAGTGTTCACAGATTGGCCGATTTGTTCTTAATTGAGATGATGATTTAAGAAATCTAAAGTCATTACACATAGTAAAAATTGTCAAGTTTCTGCAAGCCTTAAGATTACAAAGGAATCTTAATGTGTTTGCCAACTATACATCATTATAAATCTTTATAAATAAGTTTTAATTAGCATATCGTTTTCAGAAACAAATTCAAAAGCACCTTTTATTGCTTTAAAAAATAATTAGCCTACTTTGACTCCACTTTTCCTGCTACATGGTCTGTGAAAGAAAAAAACTTGACTGTATAACTTAGTATTTTGTCTAAAATTTTTAGACAATTATTTTAAGGTAGTATTAATTAGTTTGGTATGATCTTTAACCATCTTAAAGTGAAGTTGACACTATGACTTGATTCCCACCTACTTTTCTCAAGTATTTGTAAACTCTGATTTTTTTATCTTTATGAATTACATAATCTTTATGAGTTTTTCCAACAACTTTTTTCTGTATTGGCCCACTTCAAGATGGGTAGCAATAGGTATATAGTTTTTTTCAGTCTTCTAGTTTTAAATCTCTTCCTGAGAGATTCTACTGTTGTGGTGCTAGAAAGCAAGTGCAGTTGCTTTTTTTTTTTTCTTTCCTTTTTTTCTGGAAGAGTGCCATGGAACATTGGAGTTGCTGGTGGCTGGAAAACTTTGAGAATTACAAATTCAGCAGAAAATAGTGGTGTGTTGATTTGAAAGTCCTACATTTCTAGACTAGTGGCTCCCAAGAAATGTTGTGTTTATTTTTTAAGAAGGCTGTTTGCTAGACCTTTGCCACTCAAAATGTGGTTCACTGTTTTAGAGCAGTGCTTTTCAAACTTAATGTCCATATGAATTCCCTGGAAATTTTGTTGAAATGCAGATTTTATAGGTGTAGGGTGGCTGAGATTCTGCTTCCAGTGTAGATGCTGCTTTCTGGTGGACCATACTTTTGAATAGTAAGCCTCTAGAGCTCTCACATCCCTGAAGTTTTTTTAAAAAAAATTCTGCCTTATTCTGATACTTGGTTCTTAAACTACCTCTATTAGAGCAAAGCAGTTGGGCTCTTTTTGCTTCAGTTTTATGTATATGAATTAATGTACTTACTACTTATATATTACAAATTTGAGCAGTTCCCTCCATATTGGTCTCATCTTGCACTAACAAATATTAGTGAGATTTTGGAATCTGCAAGAGAGGAGGCCATATAGTACAATGGTTAACAGAATAGAGATTCTGGGTTTCTGGTCAGACTCTACCACTTACCAGACTTGTGACCTTGGATAAGTTACTCAACCTGTGTAGCCTCAGTCCTCAGGTTGCTGTGAGGATGAAAAAAGATAATCCATTTGGTACTGTACCTGGTACTTACTTATTATCAAGGGGAAGGCAACCAGGCTTTGTGAGAATGCTGCTTTGCCTCAGATCATTAGGATTCTAGATGGAGAGTGAAAAGATCGAAGTTGAGGAGTACTGCCTTAGGAGCACTGGGAATTGAGCTAGAGGACACCTTTTTGGGGTATTTATTTATTCTGCTCATCTTTTGTGCTTCTTTCTCTTGCTGCTCCCTGTTACTTTTGTGGAACTGAAAACAGTCTCAGAGTTTTCTTCTCTACTTTCCCCTCTCAAAAGCTAACACACAGCTTTTTTTTTTTTTTTCTTTAGGGTTTTTATTGCTAGTCACAAGGGAAGAAAAATAAAAGAAAAAAGGTGTTTCTTTCCTTTTCATTCTATCCCTCTCCCCCTTTTAGATTTGTCTAGGAAAGATAAGGATACATACACACATAAACACACACAGAAACTTAAGACTTAAGTTTATTCTAGTAATTTCATTTGGACTGCCAAGTTTGTAAGCAGGGGATACTTGTACTCATTTAGAAACAGGATTTTAATAAATATTAAAATGTTTAATGCTTTTAAAACATAGATTAAAACATCTAATACAGTGTTCATAAGATACTTTTATTTGGGATTTTTAAAGAGAGGTAAGGAAAAGCAGGAGTTTATTTCTGCAGAATTTTTAAAATGATGAAAGATGTCTCTCTAGGTACTAGAGAGATCTAGTACCTAGAGAGATCTAGTACCTAGAGAGACATCTTTCATCATTAAAAAAAATTTTTTTTTTTAGATGGAGTGTAGCTCTGTCACCCAGGCTGGCGTGCAGTGGTGTGATCTTGGCTCACTGCAAGCTCCCCCTCTCGGGGTTCACACCATTCTCCTGCCTCAGCCTCCTGAGTGGCTGGGACTACAGGCGCCCATCACCATGCCCGGCTAATTTTTTGTATTTTAGTAGAGACAGGGTTTCACGGTGTTAGCCAGGATGGTCTCGATATCCTGACCTCGTGATCCACCCGCCTCGGCCTCCCAAGGTACTGGGATTACAGGCGTGAGCCACCGCGCCTGGCCAGTACTACACATTTTCAGTGAGGGTTGAAATATATAATTTATTGGAAAATTTGCTGATGCATTTGAGCTGGGCGCACTAGTTAAATGTTCAGTAATAGTAAGTAATCTAGATTTATTATGAAATAATAGTTGAGAAAACAGATTTGACTTGGGTAGTTCACCACTGTGTGGAATATTTTTCTGAGTGAAAAACTTTTAATTGCCACTTCTGTCTTCTCTTACAGATTCAAAGTAAAATAACTTTAATTAGAATCTGAAAATTATCTCATAACATGCATAGTTGCAAGAGACTAAGGACTTTTTTGCCTTGTAACTTTGCATACTTATTTTTATATTTTTACTTGGACCTTCTTTCTTTCTTTTTTTTTTTTTTTTTTTGAGACGGAGTCTCGCCCTGTCGCCCGGGCTGGAGTGCAGTGGCCAGATCTCAGCTCACTGCAAGCTCCGTCTCCCAGGTTCACGCCATTCTCCTGCCTCAGCCTCCCGAGTAGCTGGGACTACAGGTGCCCGCCACTTCGCCCGGCTAGTTTTTTTTTTTTTGTATTTTTTAGTAGAGACGGGGTTTCACCTTGTTAGCCAGGATGGTCTCGATCTCCTGACCTCGTGATCCGCCCGTCTCGGCCTCCCAAAGTGCTGGGATTACAGGCTTGAGCCACGTGCCCGGCTGGACCTTCTTTCAGAGTGTGTGTGTGTGTGTGTGTGTGTAATGTATATGTTATATTTTTATATATAAAATATATTTTATTATATATTGTATATATTTTATATATAATATATAGGCAACAGTGAGACCTTGTCTCTTCAAAAAAATTTATAATTTGTAAATAATATATATTTTACATATATATGAAGCTAAAACTCCTAAATTTATGCTAATATGGTTAAACATTAATTGTTGCATTAAATGGGAGGGAAGATTGCAAATAGCTTTCCATATATATGAATTTACATTCATATGGATCCATTTAATTTAAGTGAGATAAAAATGTTTTAAATAATTTATAAATAATTGCTCAAGTAAAGTTTATTATCTTGAATAATGTGTTGATTAATTCAGTTTAATAAATTTATTTGGCCTTTGTAATATTATATATTTATAATACATAACATAAATTGTAATAACGTGCCATTTATCTGTAAGTTTAAAGTTCATCATCATTTATTTTAAAATATTCGGCAATAGCAGAGTGAATGGATTCAAGCTTTTGTGGTTTGTAATTTCATTGAAAATAGTGGCTAGACATAGTGGCTCACACCATAATTCCAGCACTTTGGAGTGGGGGAAGCAGTAGGATTACGTGAGCCTGGGAGTTCCAGACCAGCCTAGGCAACATAGTGAGACCCTGTCTCTACCAAAAGAAAAAAAATTAGTCAGTTGTGGTGGTGCAAGCCTGTAGTCCTAGCTTCTGGGGAGACTGAGGTGGGAGGATCACTTGAGCCTGGGAGGTTGAGGTTGCCGCAAGCCATAATAGTGCCACTGTGCTCCAGCGTGGGTGACAGAGTGAGACTCCATCTAGTAAAAAAAAAATTCCTTTTGATATTATACTTTCATTAAATGATTATATCAATGGAAGTATCAACTTGCTTAAATATGGGATACTGGTAGCTTTATTTTTCTCATTGCAGTTCCTTGCAATGTAGTAGAAGCACATTTAAAGACTCATTTATAGTGTATGTCGGAAAACTACACTAAGATTTAAAATAATGAATGTGTCTAGCTATATAAAAATTTGGAATTTCTAAGAGATGTCTGAGAAAAAGATAAAATAAGATGTGGCTCATAGCCATTATGAGTAATGTAATTTTATACTGTTTGCTTCAAATTTAAATTGGGTCAAACTATAATACCCTGTGATGGTCTGAAACACTGTTAAGTAATACTGGATTTGAACTTAAATGTGAAATAGATTTAGATTTCAGTGCACCTGGCAAAATCATGTGATCACTGAAAACCCAGAAATCCCAGTGATTGCTGAGTATGTTTTGATTTTTCAGTTGTTAATTTTAAGTGTAATGGAGATAGAACCAAAGAAAGACTCTTGAATTTCCCTTATCGTAGGCTAGGTATTTCACCACAAACTTTGGAGTCAGAATGAGTTTGAGTGCTGCCTTTTCCATTTACCAACAAGGTGCTCTTGAACAAGTTACTTGACGTTTTTGAGTAGAACTTTATAGTTTTTCAAGTATTTTTAACATTATTTCACTTAGTCCTTACCAGCAACCACTTTAATTTATAAGATAAATTGAGATGAATACCCCCATGTTCAGAGAGGGTTGCCTACTTCTGTACTGTTTGTGGGTAGCATGGTGAGTGGAGCATGGGTTTTAAGGTTAGATAGCCTTAAATTTGAATCCTGGGCTAGCGACTTGACCATATTTCTCATATTCTTTGAGGCTGATGATGGTAATCATACCTGTTTCATAGGATTGTTCTAGAGGTTAAATGAGGTTGGGGGCCTCCTTACTGCTTTATCTCTCATGCCTGCCACATAATAGTCACTCATTTGTGGAGTAAATCAATGCCTGGCATAGTAGGTATTCATGGGAGCTTCTTTCCCTTCTGATTTCTAGTCTAATTCCTGCATCTCTAATTGAATGTGACTTGCAATTTGTGTTTAAGATTTGTTTATTTATTTATTTATTTATTTATTTATTACAAATCTGCTTGTTTGGGTACATGTTTAGGATTTTTTTGAAAGAAAAATTTATTATTATTTTTTTTTAAGAGACAGGGTCTCACTCTGTTGCCCAGGCTAGAGCACAATCATAGCTCACAGTGGCACAATCATAGCTCACTGCAGCCTCACATTCCTGGGCTCAGGCAATCTTCTCAACTTAGCCTACAAAGTAGCTAGGATGACAGGTGTGTGCCACCACACCTGGCTAATTTTTAAATTTGTTGTAGAGATAGGGTCTTGCCATGTTGCCCAGGCTGGACATTTAGATTTTGCCATGTTGCCCAGGCTGGACATTTAGATTTCTTTAGAAGGGAGGTTATTGAAAACCTTGATTACACATAAATCTGATTTTTTGGTTGTTATTAAGCTCCTTGTAGCTTAGTGTGTTTTATCACTCTATTTTTAGACCATTATTATTTTTATTTTTTAATTTTTTCAAGAGATGGAGTCTCGCTCTGTTGCCCAGGCTAGAGTGCAGTGGCGCGATCTCAACTCTCTGCAAGCTTGGCCTCCCGGGTTCACGCCATTCTCCTGCCTCAGCCTCCCAAGTAGCTGGGACTACAGGTGCCCGTCACCACGCCTGGCTAATTTTTATATTTTTAAAGTAGAAATGGGGTTTCACCGTGTTAGCCAGGATGGTCTCGATCTCCTGACTTTGTGATCCGCCTACCTCGGCCTCCCAAAGTACTAGGATTGTAGGTGTGAGCCACCGCGCCCGGCCTAGACCATTATATTTTACTTGCTGTGCCAATAAGATGAGTTGACCGTATAATTCCATAATTTAGAAACCTGAGATGATCTTAGATTTTTACAAATGTGGTTTTAATTATGTATGGTGAATTATTATTCTGATGATAGTTATATACTTAGCTTATGGATTGTCATTGAAGCCTGCTTTACAACTCTGGAAACACAAAATATTTTCCTCTTTATATGAAATTAATGTTATGTATACATTTGTAGAGTCTTACTTATATTAAGATATGCATATATCTAAGCATTTGAGGTCTCCCATTGGACTATGAATTTCTTTTTTTTTTTTTGAGACAGAGTCTCACTCTGTTGCCCAGGCTGGAGTGCAGTGGTGGGATCTCAGCTCACCATAACCTCCGCCTCCTGGGTTCAAGCTATTCTCCTGCCTCAGCCTCCTGAGTAGCTGGGACTACAGGCACGTGCCACCATGACCGGCTGATTTTCGTATTTTTAATAGAAACAGGGTTTCACTACGTTGGTCAGGCTGGTCTCAAACTCCTGACCTCGTGATCCACCCACCTGGGCCTCCCAAAGTGCTGGGATTACAGGCATGAGCCATCGCGCAGGGCTTGGACTGTGAATTTCTTAAGGGAAGGGATTGTTTTGTTCATTCTTATTTCCCTGCTGCTTAAGTTTGTGCCTGGCCAAAAAAAATAATAGCTGTGTAGTACATATTGTGAGACAGCATACCTGCTTCTAATCTGGGGCCTTCTGAAGGGATTTTTGTTTTTAGTTCTGCCCTAGATATTTAGAACTTAAACCCTACATAAAGTGCTATTGTGTTATATGGATAGGAAGCCAATGTTATGTTAACATTTTAATGTCAGTAAGGCATACTTTCTTGTTAGGTTTGAAAGTTAATCTTTGTGTGAAAAGGTAGGAGGAATATTATATTTTTAAGGACTTCTAGTCCTTGTAATAATGAATGGAAACTTATTCAAATATTGATTAGAGGTATGCTATGTATAAAGCATTCTATATAAGCTTTTTATAAGGTATGTTTTACTTAGGGTAAGGCTTTGTTAGCACTGTAGTTTTTATAAAGGCAGTCTTCGAGTTTGTATATTTTTTTTCTTAGAATTCTTTGACACTTATACTAGCAGTTTGATTTCTAAATAATATAAATCATATTTATATGTAAAATTCAATTTTTTTCTAGTTCAATTTTAGTCTCTGAATGTGATTGTTGTTACTTTTTGTTTAAAAAAATTTTTTTAAATAACTGGGCTGAAGTGACGTGTCTTTCTGATATACCAGACATTGTATTCTACCTTCTGTTCTATCTTTGCAACAGATTTATTTGAAAATGCCTATGGGTCTTCAATGAAGAGAAGAGAACTTGAAGATCTGAAGGATAATATTGAATTCAGAGGTCAAAAGCCACTTAACAGCATCACTGTTTCAAAGAAACGCAATTGGCTATATCAGAGTACTCTGAGATCTCTTAATCTGGAAGAAGAAAATAAGAAATGCCAAGATAGAAGTCATTTATCCATCTCACCTGTGTCTCTACCTAAACATCAGCTATCACAGTCTTTCCTCAAATCATCTAAAGAGTACTGTACATATGTGGTATGTAACGCTACAAACTCTTCGTTATCGAAAAACTGTGCTTTAGATTTTAATGAGGAAAATGATACAGATGATGAAGGAGAAATATGGTACAACCCCATTCCTGAGGATGATGACCTTGGTATGTCAAGTGCCTTGAGTTTTGGTGAGGTTGACTCTGCTGTTCTGAAGCTCCCTGCTGTCAGTTTAAGCATGTTGTCTGGCAGTGACCTGATGAAAGCAGAGCAGCATACTGAAGACTCGCTGTGCTCTTCCGAACATACAGGTGATATTCAGACCACATGGTCAAATGGAATGAATCCTATGGATCCTGCCCGTTCCACAGAATTTGTGCAGCAGTACAAGCAAAGGCTAGGACACAAGACACAAGAAGGTATAATGGTAGAGGACAGTCCTATGTTGAAATCTTTTGCAGGTAAAAATGATCATATATCTGTCTTTTCTTTCTTCTTCCATTTTTCAATTATTTGATAGTAGCTAAAACTAAATATAAAAGATGTTTGTTATACTTTTTCTTGCGAATATATTTTCATGAAAATAAAACTCAAAAAGGTTTATAAACATTTTAACGTACATGCTGGTTTAATTATTACTATCACAGACTTGATCTTTGTTTTATTTTAATTAATTTATTTTTTTTTTTTGAGGCGGAGTTTCACTCTTGTTGCCCAGGCTGGAGTGCAATGGCATGATCTCGGCTCACCACAACCTCCGCCTCCCAGGCTCAAGCAATTCTCCTGCCTCAGCCTCCCTAGTAGCTGGAATTATAGGCATGCGCCACCACGCCCAGCTAATTTTGTATTTTTTAGTAGAGACGAGGTTTCTCCATGTTGGTCAGGCTGGTCTCGAACTCCTGACCTCAGGTGATCCACCCGCCTCGGCCTCCCAAAGTGCTGGGATTACAGGCGTGAGCCACTGCGCCCGGTCTTATTTTATTTTTTAAGAAAAGGTCTCACTCTGCCACCCAGGCTAGAGTGCAGTGGCACAATGATGGCACACCGCAGCCTTGACGTCCAGGCTCAGGTGATCCTCCCACCATAGCCTCCTGAGTAGCTAGGACTATAGGTGCCTGCCACCATGCCCAGACAATTTTTGTATTCTTTTGTAGAGACAGGGTTTTGCTTTGTTTACCAGGCTGGTCTAGAACTCCTGACCTCAAGCCATCCACCCACCTTGGCCTCCCAAAGTGCTGGGATTATAAGCGTGAACCATTGTGCCTGGCCACAGACTTGACTTTATAGTCCAGTGTGCTTTAATATGCCAATCCTTTGAGATAGTAGTTGCTTGTCTATTAGTTGAAAGCAAGAAATCATAGGAAGTTGAAGAAAAAGTAAGTCTTATTTTGCTTCATTCATTCATTCATTCATTCATTTACACCTGGCCTGGCTGCAGCTGAAAAGTTTTATTTTTAGTGTATCAGTGGTCATTAGTTTGTGTTTGTTATGCCTAAGTTTCCTCATGAGCAAAAGAAAGAGAGAAGAGAGAAAGAAATGAGAAGTAGAAATGAGAGAAGAGAGAAAGAAATGTAGTAGGTGCTACAGTAGTTATGGAACTGAAAAATGAAGTAATTGAAGTTTCATGTAGATTAAGTTGACCCATGTGAAAATAAGTGCTACAGTAGTTATGGAACTGAAAAATGAAATAATTGAAGTTTTATGTATATTAGGTTAACCCATTTGAAATTGCAGATATTCAAAAGTTTTTGATCTGCAAAAATTGCCTTTAATTTTCTGATATGCTTCTTTTAGTCCCTGACACAGTACGCAGGAAACAGAACGTAAGGCACATTTGCTTGCAAATATCATGTGTAGAATAGAAAGCAGTTCTGTTTTATATCAAGTCATTTTAATTTACAGAATTTCAAATGATGCAGAATATTTAAAGATGTGGGGTATAGGAGATGCTGTCAGTGCTTTGTCTTATATCCCTTGGGTTTTATTACTTTTTAAATGGGAGAAGCTTATTTCCAGCCACCAACATCTTCATCTCTGTGTAAGGACTTTCTCTGAAGTCTTAGAGAATCTCTCTGCAGGGCAGCCTGGGCGTGCCTCTCAACCAGTGCCTGACAAGAGCTGGTATAGAACCACCACAGCTCCCTGAACCCTTGGGCAGAATAATTCTGAGCTCATATTCTATGTTGTTTTCCAGAGTTTTCTCATGAGGTCAAGCTCCAGTTGCCCATAGTGATAACAGGCTTAATAATTCAGCTTGAATTTTCCGCTGAATTTTCTCAACTCCCTCGCTGTTGTTTCTGTATTTTGCAAATAAACTACTTACATTTGAAACCTTTTCTCAGGAACATAGAAAGGTGGAGTAAATGTATATTAAGAGAAAAAGCAAGTTCCAAAACAATGTGTACTATATGATGGCAATTTTGAAAGAAAAACTGAAAGCCATCCTGGAAATGTTAAGTGTTTTTTTGTTTATTTGTTTTTATTTTTTCTGAGTGTTGAGATTGAAGGTAATTAAATTTTTTCTTTGTGCATTTCTAATTATAGGATAATTCTCCAGAGCGAATGTGTGCTTCTTTTGTAGTCCGGACGGGGAGAGAAATAAATACTATATAAAATAGTAATTTGGAATGCAGATTGTGATCAGGGTGGAGTGATAGGGAAGGCTATAGTATCACAGCGATGGATATGGAATAGTTCAGAGAAGGCAAGAGAGTGTAAGGATAAGAGCAAAGATAGAAAGTTGGTGTTCATGAAGTGACACACACCTTGATTTAAGTGACTATCCTTAAACTTTTTTTTTTTTAATGTTTGTGGCAAATTGTGAACCCGGAAAGACTAACATTTTTTTTTAAAAAATATAACTTAAAAGTATGGTATATCTGCTTTTTTTTACTATCTCCTTTTTTACTGTCATTCTTCTCATATATATATAATTAAAATATATTTATAATTATAAAATAAATATATATTATAAATATTAAATATTTCGTTTACTATTGTAAAATATATGATTATAATATATAATTAAAATATTTTTTGGTCAAAAATCCTAAATTGACCAAAGGAAATATATAGACAGTTTATTTATAAGTCGTCTTTTTCTGTTGTTTTATTTTGGTGGAAAAACCATTACCTAAAGTGATCTGTTTCTTAGCAATATTGGCAGAAATCTCTTGAGAAATTGGCAAAGAAAATGGTTGAATTTCAAAATAATTTTTGATCAGAGAATTGGAAAGCTAATTCATCCTAATACAATTATGACTTGTTTTTTCCTGATTAACTTCCAGATATATATATATATATATATATATTTTTTAAAGACAGGGTATTGCTGTGTTTTGCAGGGTGGAGCACAGTGGCACAATCACGGCCCGCTAGCCTCCCAGCCTGGGAAACACTAGACCTTCCCGGCTCAACCAGTCTTCCCACCTCAGCTTCCCTAGTAGCTGGGACTATAGCTCACCACCACACCTGCTAATGTTTTTGTATCTTTGGAGACATGGGGTTTTGCCATGTTGTCCAGGCTGGTCTTGAACTCCTATCTGCCTCAGCCTCCCAAAGTAATGGGATAACAGTGAGCCACCATGACATATATGTATCTTTTATGTAGTTGCAATCATAGTGGACTTTATTTTTTATTTTTGCTATTTTTACTTGGTATCTTCATCTTGCATTGTTACATGTAGAGTAGTATTGTTTCTCAAGCATTGTAGTACAGTATTTAACTGGGTTGATGTGCCCTAATCTTTTTGACTGTTTCCTTAATGTTAGGTGTTGATAGATTGTTTCCGGTGCTGTTGCAGTGATCTTCATAATAATATTTTTTACTTCATTCAGAACAATTACCAGGATCATTACTTGGTGTTTATGGCTGGTAATTATTATTGTTAATTTCTATATTGCATTTTCTACAAAGTTTGCCAGTTTACAAGGCAACTAACAATTGGTTATTCATTTATTCACTAAATATTGAGTTCCTGCTATGTACCAGTTACTGTTCTAGGTGCTGAAGGAGTATGCCAGTTTCACTCGACTCTAGCCTAGTTCATAAATTTATATTTAAAGATTTTTACTTTGTACCTTCTTTTTAAAGATAGTATGTGATTTGATTAGTATAGTTGTAGTTTAATTTTAAGCGACTGTGGAATTTGGTAATATTTTGGCTCTTGGGGTTTATAAAAACAAAGCATTTGGTTTTAATAAATTCAGTCTTATCTGCAGTAGAAGTTGCTATCATGTACAGTATTTCATTTTAATAATTAAGGACTTCAGTAGAAATTACTTACAATATGTTAAAAGAGTCAAATTTTTTAATGTGATAATGTATTTAATCTAAAGCAATTTAATATATTGGATAGCTTTTCTAGGCTGTGATAAAATAGACAGATTGATGTTTATAGACTAAAGCAGGACCCTGATTAACTCTAGAATGTTTCAGACTATTAAGCCAGTAGAATTGTACTATAATTTTAGTACAAGGGGATGCTTTATCCATTTTATCAAACACTCCATTTTCTATTATCTTCTTACTAGAAAAGCCCTGTAGGCATACTTAAAATAGGTTTTTCTCTATAAAGAAACTACTTATTTGTCATTGGGACACATAGTGGTGGAGGGAGAATATTAGTACTTTTTAAAGAAAGATCATTTGTTGATTTTTAAAATGAATAAATACTTTTTCTCATTTTAATCATGAAATATTGTGTTACATACATTAGTTTTTGATGTGAGGTTATTAGATATTTCTCTATAAGGAATAGACAAAGTATGAAAAATTAACTTCAATTTTAAATAATTGGGATAATGCAGTATTCTGCTTGAGTATCATTATGGAAGTTGAGCTGAACTTCTAATGAAATCTCCCCATTAAGATGAATAAGAGAAGAATTTCTGCCTATGTGGGAGCTTGTTTAGTTGATGGTTTATAAAATAAGAATAAAAGTAGAAATCAAAACATACTGCTTTATAATATATTTTTCTTTTTCTTTTTTTTTTTTTAAGGTTCAGGGATCCTGGCTGCTACAAATAGTACTGAATTGGGAATTATAGAACCATCTTCTCCAAATCCTAGCCCTGTGAAAAAAGGCAGTTCAATTAATTGGTCTTTGCCAGATAAAATAAAATCTCCACGAACTGTGAGGAAACTTTCCATGAAAATGAAAAAGTTGCCAGAATTTAGCCGAAAGCTAAGTGTTAAGGGAACATTGAATTATATAAACAGTCCAGATAACACTCCTTCTTTGTCTAAATATAACTGCCGAGAAATTCATCATACTGATGTTCTGCCCTCTGGGAACACAACCACAGCTGCTAAGAGGAATGTTATAAGCCGATACCATCTTGATACCAGTGTATCCTCCCAGCACAACTACCAGAAGAAAAACTCTATGAGTTCTAAGTATTCCTGCAAAGGTGGTTACCTTAGTGATGGAGACTCACCTGAACTTATAACTAAAGCTAGCAAACATGGATCTGAAAACAAATTTGGAAGGGGAAAAGAAATAATTTCAAATAGTTGTAGCAAGAATGAAATAGACATTGATGCTTTTAGGCATTATAGCTTTTCTGATCAACCTAAGTGTTCACAGTACATATCTGGGCTCATGAGTGTACATTTCTATGGTGCTGAGGATTTAAAACCACCTCGGATAGATTCAAAAGATGTCTTTTGTGCAATTCAGGTAGATTCAGTAAACAAAGCAAGAACAGCTTTGCTCACATGTCGAACAACATTTTTAGACATGGATCACACTTTCAACATAGAAATTGAAAATGCTCAACATTTGAAACTAGTAGTATTCAGTTGGGAACCCACTCCAAGAAAAAATCGAGTATGTTGTCATGGAACTGTTGTTCTTCCCACCTTATTTAGAGTGACAAAGACTCATCAATTGGCTGTCAAACTTGAACCTAGAGGTCTTATTTATGTGAAAGTGACTCTTATGGAACAGTGGGAGAATTCTCTTCATGGACTAGACATAAACCAAGAGCCAATAATATTTGGAGTTGATATTCAAAAAGTTGTAGAGAAAGAAAATATAGGACTGATGGTGCCCCTTCTGATACAGAAATGTATTATGGAAATTGAAAAGAGAGGCTGTCAGGTATTATCTTACTATGGTTCTCTACTACTTCCTTTATTGATTGATTAATTGTAAGTCTTGGGGGAAGGAATTCAAAGTAATGTAAAAAAATCAAATTTAGATATTTTACAGTTCCTATTCTTTATTCCATTACTGTTTAGGGTATAATTTTTAAGTTGACTCATGTTATCTGTTATTGAGAGCATGCTAGATGATTCCACAAATTTGTATTGCAACACAGAGCTTCATGGGTCTTATAATTAGAAATCAGGATTGCTTCAAAATGGCATTAAAAGGAAAAGTCAGAGCTGATAAACATAGGCAAAGGATATTAATATAAGGTATAAGTAATTTTTATACAAATTTTTGTGATGCATATTAAGACTAAAAATCATTACGTTATTTCTGCTTTAGTACTATCCGAATTTATAATATTGGTTAAAAAGGTAAGTTAAAAGACAGAGTAAATATTATAAAATCTGAAATATTTATTTAATAAACTTAAGCTTAACATGGAAACTCAAGAAACAGCATAAGTTAATGGAATTTTGCATTAAGATGCAGAATACCTGGATTCTGGTTTCTCCTCCATTATTACTTAGCTGTGTCATGTTGGGCAAGTCACTTAATCTCTGTGGGTCTTACTTGCTTGTATCTATAAAAATAGATGGAGTGGTCGGGCATGGTGGCTAACACCTGTAATCCCAGCACTTTGGAAGGCTGAGGTGGACGGATCGCCTGAGGTCAGGAGTTCAAGACCAGCCTGGCCAACATGGTGAAAACTGTCTCTACTAAAAATACAAAAATTAGTCCAGTATGGTGGCACTTGCCTGTAATCCCAGCTACTTGAGAGGCTGATGCAGGAGACTCGTTTGAACCACTTTTAAGTGCCAAGAAAACATTTTTAGCAATACTTTTCATTTTTATTTAGAACTGTACTTTTTTTTTTTTTTGAGACGGAGTCTTGCTCTGTCGCCCACACTGGAGTACAGTGGTGCAATCTCAGCGTACTGCGACCTCTACCTCCCGGGTTCAAGCAGTTCTGCCTAAGCCTCCCAGTTAGCTGGGATTACAGGTGCACACCATCATGCCTGGCTAATTTTTGTATTTTTTTTTTAGTAGAGACAGGGTTTCACCATGTTAGCCAGGCTGGTCTCAAACTCCTGACCTTGTGATCCGCCTGCCTCAGCTTCCCAAAGTGCTAGGATTATGGGTAGGAGCCATGGCTCCTGGCCTAGAACTGTACTTTTTAAAGACGTTTTTGTTTTGTCTCCCCTGCTTCTTTCTTCTCCACTTGCCCTCCCCTGTCCCCCGCCCCCAATAGAGAGAGGCTTATTGTGCATGTATTTTATAGACTGGCATACTGCTTACATTTTGTTTACCCTTTTAGTCAGGAATTATTCTTCTTTTGTTGGGTTTTTATTGTAAACATGAAAATAGGCTTTCATAGTCATATGCAAAGAGTTTGTGGCATGGGTCTTTGCATCTTCCAAATCCTTTGAATGCTACTCCCACCCATCTCCTGCTTAAAATGGGAAAAATTGCTATGGAGATCATACTCATGGTCTGCCTTTCATAGAGGCATCGAGCATGTACTTCAAGGATTTGATTCAGGATCTCAGCATCTGAAAGTAGGGATATATCCTAAAATATCTTTTCCTTGAAGTACCTGTATTAGATCTTCCTTTCTTTGTTCATCTTTTAAAAAATTATATTTGTGATTTCAACTTTTGGGGGTAAAATATCCCATTAATTTATTGTGTACTAGTTAAGTAGTACTTCCTTTAAGTTGTTGTAGGCTCATCTTCTTCTCAAGTTTAAGGGATACATCATTTTTATGGTACTTTATGACACTTACATGTGCTCACACCAGCAGGGCTATGATCAAGTTCGTTTTTTCTATTGTGGTAGCATTTCCTTTGATTCTGTTTAGTATTTTAGTTTCATTTTCTAGACTGTCTACATTTCTACTGTGTCTTTCTTGAGATGATGTGACCAGTGTAACTCATGCTATTCTCAATGTGGATGCATCATGAATGTGGGTAAGAGTAGGAAATTTGAATTTTTTTCCTTGTGTATTTCTTGGTTTCCCATATTATCTTGATCTTTTTGAATGTAGCAGCACCTTGCATTATCATGTCTTGGAAATAGTTTTAGGTTCTTTACTATCTTTCAATTAATACCTATAGCTTATCATCTCAAATATTTTAGATAATATTTCCCTGTATCTGTTTTGACACTTTCTCATATTGAGACCCACCTTATAATGTAGAATATAATGTATTCTATCAGTTTTTTAATGAGTCAGAAGAGATTAGTGTCATAAGTAAACCTGGAAATTTCATTTGTATACTTCTTCCTCTAGATCATTTATTGCATTTTACAGTGATTCCTAGTTCAAATCCTGGAAGATTACTTTTACTTTCTCTCTTTAAGTAGTTTCTTTCTCCATAATTATTCCTTCAATTCAAAGTGACTGAACTTTCTAAATAATCTTAGATGTGGAAGTATGGCTGACAACCACTTATTCTCAAGTTTTTTTGAAGGTTTATTCTTTCAAAGGCCTTTGATAGCTTAATTGGGCGTGTTTTGTCTTCACAGAGATCATGTTTATTTCTTCTCGGTAAATTTATAGTGAATAACTTAAGACTCAATATTTAGAACCTGTATAACAGTGTTTAAAGACAAATCTTTTCAATGTAGGTTGGTGGGATGGGTAGTGTCTGTCCATCTTATATAAAGTTTGAAGTAGAGGTTTTATTTTACCTTTAATATATTATTTTAAATTTCCTCCATCACTTTGTAATCAATCAATTTGACAACAACAAAAAACCCTAGGTTTGCTTCTGTGTCTTCCTGAGAATCTTTCTTCTTAAAAAGCTTTATATACTAGAACCTTATTTCAACTATATTGTTATCTTAAGGATAAAAGAAACTGAGTTTTAAAGAGATTAAATAACTTGCCCAAATTCATGAAGCAAGGAGTGGGGCATTATGACTCTAAAATCCTTGTTCACTGTCTGCGCCATACTACTTCAGTCTGGAACAAAAGTTGTGAAAGGGCGCACATTCCTGGGGCATGGAGATCTTGATTGAGCATATAAAACTGAAAAGAAGGGATTGCGTTTTGCTTAAGATAGGTAGCCAGCATTACCGAACTGACAGTGTATTGTTTGAATTTAAATAAAAGAATAGGATATTTTTATTAAACTAATCAACATAGTATATAATGAGATTTCAAAAGCTATATTTGAGGTATTTTAAATTAAATTACATCGGAACATATTTGATTGCAAAGTTCATGTGATCTATAATGTAATTATATTTTCCCTTTATCAAATTTACCATAATGTGGCCATAATTTTATTCCTAGGTAGTAGGCCTGTATCGATTATGTGGTTCGGCAGCAGTCAAGAAAGAACTGCGAGAGGCTTTTGAGAGAGATAGCAAAGCTGTTGGTCTGTGTGAAAACCAGTACCCAGATATAAATGTAATAACAGGTAATACATAGATTTTATTTTATGTACTCTTTCTGGAAAGACTACATCTGCAAGAAAGATAACTGAAATACGTTTGTAGCTGAAATTTAATTTGTTTTTCTGAAGTCTTTTCTTCCTTCACAAACGTTACTTACTGTGTTATTTTCTATGGGAAGGTATTAAGCTATGGTCCCTTGCCCGCCAACAGCTGACATGATGAAGGGAAGTAAGACCTACTTTCAATTAGCTATAGCAGCTAGCAGAAAGAAAAAGGTACCTTCATAGAGGGATAAATAAAATGCCTTGGGAGTTGAGTTTGACTGGTACTTAGGTGATATAGAGGGTATTGACTCTCTGGTTAGAGAATTTAAATTTATTTACTAGCCAGAGGGGATCCATTAAAATTTTTTGAGTAGAGGAGTGATATCATTAGAGATTGTTTTCAGGAATATTAATCTGGCAACTCTATGTGATGAATTGAAATTAGAAGAGACCAGAGGAAGGAAAACCAATTAGAAAACCTTGGCAATAGTCCAAGCAAAGAGGTAGTAAGAGCTAAAGGGGCTTGTAGCAGTAGAAATAGGAAGAAGTAGAATTGAAAGGAGGTGGAGAAAGAGGGAGCCCAGACAGACGTGACTTTGAGACCTGGTTGATTGGGTACCATTAGCAGAAATAAGATAGCTTCAGGGAGAGCTACTGCTTTTTGTGGGGAAGTGTTGAGAAAGATTATGAATTGGGCTTTGGATATATAGAATTTGAAGTGCTAGTAGGAGATCTAAATGGGTAGATCAAGCAAAGTTGAAACTGCTCATCTGCAGCTAAGAAGAGGATGCAGTAGAATTTGAGGGATCTCTTACTTACCCAAGTGGTGATTATAATTCAGTGTATGGCAATGGAAATATACTTCTATTACCCCTGAAAAATGAGAGTGGAAAGAGAGTCATTGCATATATGTATAGTTAAAGCGTTGCAATTGTCCATAAAGTTTGAAAAGACAAGAACTTTGGAGGTCTCCCAACTTTGGAGGCAGGCAAAGAAAGATGAAACACCTAAAGAGATTGAGAGGAAAGGAGTCAGAAAGTTTGGGAAATAAGAGACAACAGAAATTAAGCAAGAGTGTGATACAGTCATTCTATGGAGAGGTTATATGACAAAAGAAAAGGGCCTTTGAGTTTGGCCATTAAGAAATGGCTCATAACCTTACTGGTAACCTTCAGGAGCTACTGGTTTATAATAATTCCATGTTTGTTTTTGTTGTTTTACTTTTTTAATTATTGAAGTTTTCAAGTATGCGAAAGTATAGAGAATACTATGAAAAATCCTGTTTATCACCTGGTTTCCATAATATCAACACATGAACAGACTTGTCTCATTCATCCTCCCATTTGCTTCTTCTCAGCCCTTGATTATTTTGAGAAAATCTCAGACGTATCCTTTAATTTATAGATGCTTCAGTGTGTGTCTCCAGATCTTCTGTGTATTTTGGTAGTTCTTTCTCCTCTCTACTGACAACCGCCATTTTTTTTCTTGCTGTAATGGGTTTATTTTTCTCTTATAACTTGCTTTCTTATTTTTACTCACAATTAACTGTTTGGGTGAAAATTTGAGGAAAGTTCATCTTGTACATATTTAAGAGAATTTTGTTGGTGAAAATCCTTACTTTTAGGATTGAGACTTTCTGAATAATTGAGGTTCCTACCCTTTGAGTGCTGAATGACTGTATTTTCTTCAAGTATTTAATATGTAATTCTTAGATAATCAAAACTTTGATTCCAAGCATTTTAATGCTAAGATAAAACAAACTGTCACTTTTTTCTTATATATTTTAGCAAATCAGAAATAATGGTTCCTTTTAATTTTTATACAGGAAGAGGCATATTTCTACAAAAAATTGAGATGCCTGAAAAAAAATGAAATGTTCTTTCCTTGTTAATGTGTAATTAACAAAATCAGCCAAAGACTCATTTTATGAATCCATGAAAGAGAAAGTTTTATAAATACAAATTTCCAGCAAGTACAGTCTATAAATAGATTTTGTCTTGGTGAAACTTTGTCTTATAAATAAAAATTATGTTAAACATGTATAATTTTATAAGATGAAATGAAGGAAGAGTTCCTAGTTTTGGAAATTGGCAGCATATGCAGAAGATATGAACAATAGGTCAATGAATATTGGATTTACAGCATTCTTTCCTAAAATTGAGAGTTTCTGTAATTTATAAATTGGATATTTCTTGGCTCTATTCTTTGTATTATTCCATTTGTGTAAAGCTGTTTTTCAGAAGAATTTAGAGCTTTTTTTTTTTCTTGATAAAAAGGCAATGAAATGATTTAAGATTTGTCTGCAAAATAATTGCATGACACAAGGTTTTCGTGGCTAAAAATAAAGGGTATTGTTGATTTGAGGGGTTGGCCAGTGACAGTGTTGCTTCATGTGTTTGTTCCTCATGAACTCACATTTCTGAGTAAACTTTGAAAAATAGTTAGTAGTTCGGTAGGTCTAAAAAATGAGAAATTAATGAAGTGAGTGACAGATTTTGTTCACAGTTTAATGTGTTTTTAGTAGTTGGTTTATCTGGAGCATGGAATGAAATACTCCAGACAAACCAGTTTTTTAAAAATCAAGTACAAAATTTTAGGTATAAAGTCCATTCATAATTCTTTTTTGTTTGCTTTTTGAAAGAGTCTCACGCTGTAGCCCAAGCTGGAGTGCAGTGGTGCAACCTCCGCCTCTGGGGCTCAAGCAATTCTTGTGCCTCAGCCTCCCGAATAGCTGGGACTACAGGCACACGCCACTAAACCCCGTTTTTTGTATTTTAGTAAAAACAGGGTTTCACCATGTTGCCCAGGGTGGTCTTGAACTCCTGAACTCAGGAGATCCTCCCATGTCAGCCTCCCAAAGTGCTGGGATTACAGGCATAAGCCACTGCTCCCGGCCTATTCCTAATTCTTTAGAGGACTTATTAACAAGGGACAGAAGACTTTTAAAAAGTCAAATATTTATCATTTAGTGATTATTAAAAATAAGTCTTCTGAGGAAGATTACATGTGTCTAGCTACTGTGAAATAGACTTCTTGTCAGTGCTACACAATCAGTATCTAGGTTCAGTGCCTGAAAGTTCATTTGACCATGCCTTTTTCTGATTTTAATCCTACCATAGTCATTTTTATCCTATTTGCCGTTTAGGGAAAACTTTATCAGAATATAACTAAATGATCTTGAAAACATTAATATTTTTCTTTTTTGTACATACTATACATTTTCCTACCATACGTATTATATGTTGTCTGACCTTTGGAACATTAACTTACAAATTGTTTCCATTTTCCTTTACCTAGATTGCATATAGATGTCAAAACTGTGCAAGCACCAAGGAATGCTAAATGTTGAGGAATGGTCATAGACTTAGCAACCCACATATACTGAGATTGTTTATGAGAGCCATTTGGTCTGAGTAACATGTATAGGGTATGACTAAAGTAGGTGATAAGGCCAGAAAGAGTAAGTGAGGTAAGGTGCGGGGTAGGTTAGTGGATTTAAAAAAGTAATTTGTAGCTCTACCTTCAGGAAATGTCAATGATTCAACATTCAAATCTACGGAATCAACTGTATCTTTACTATCTGTATAAGTTTTATATGTGAGAGAATGATTCTCATGTTTGTATACGTGCATATTCGGTCTTCTGGTTCATAGGTCCTAAATGCGTTTGTATTTATTTAGGCTTATTCTGAAGCCCAGAATATGGTTTTTGGTGGTAAATATTCCATTTGAGCTCTTGAAAAGAATGTGTATTCTGGTGTTTTTGGACGGACTGTGCTGTAACTATCAATAAAGTCAAGTTAATTAATAATGTTCCAGTCTTCTACATCTTTGTTTTCTTTCTACTCGCTGAGAGGAGTATTGAAATCTTCAACTATAATTGTGGTTTTTCTCTATTTTTTCTTCAAACTGTTTTTGTTTCCACCCCACCTACCCAATGCCACTACTTTGCCTTTGAAGATTACAATTAAGCATGTATTAGGCCACTTTACGTTATGTTACAGCTCACTGATAGTGTATTTTTTTTCCAGCTTTTCCCCCAAGTTGTTTCATTTTACATTGTTTCTATTGCTCTATCTTCAAGTTATATTAGCCTTGTCTTCTGATATTAATTTCATTCATTGCATTTTTAGTTTCAGACAACCTAGTTTTCACTACTATAAGTTTGATATGGGTTTGTTTTTTCAGTATTTTCCATGTCTCTACTTAATATGTTCAGTCTTCATTCTAGTTTCTTGAACATATGAAATACAATTATAATAAGTGTTTTCGTGTCCTTTTCTACTGATTCTATTGTGTATGTCTTTTCTGAGTTGGTTTAAATTGATTTGACTCCTCATAGGTTATATTTGCCTCCTCCTTTATATGCCTCGTAATTTTTTACTGGACATCAAATGTAAATTTTACCTTCTTGGGTGCTGGATATTTCTGCATTTCTGTATTTATAGCTGTGGTTTGGTATGCAAGTACGTTACTTGCAGAGTTTTTAGTCTTTTAAGCTTTATTAGGCAGAATGTCAACTGCTTTTAAATAAGGCTCTTCTTTGTCTATCTCTTTGATTCTCTACTGAAGCAAAACTCTTCTATATACTGTGTACTTATATTAGTTTTCTATGGCTGCCATAACAAAGTACCACCAACTTGGTGGCTGAAACAACAGAAATGTCTTTTCTCACAGTTCTAGAGGCTGGAAGTTCAGAATCAAAGCGTTAGCAGGGCCCTGCTCCCCTTGATACCTGCAGGGGAATCCTTCCTTGCATCTTCCTAGTTCTGGTGGTTTGCTGGCAACCTTTGACAGCCCTTTCTTTGCCTGTAAATGCATGACTCCAATACTCCATCTTCACATGGCATTTTCCCTATGTTTCTTCATATCATCTACTCTCTCTGTGTGTCTTTTTCTGTGTCCCTCATTTTATAAGGACATGTCATATTGGAGTAAGGCCCACCCTAATGACCTCGTTTAACTTGATTACCTCTGCAAAGACTCTTTCCAAATAAGGTCATATTCTGAGGCACTAGGAATTCAGACTCCAACATGTTTTTTTTTTGGTCAGTGGTGGGGGCCACAATTCAACATAGTGCTGTACCCAAATCCCATGAATTACGAAGTTTTCCTCTCTGGCTGCTTGGAACAAGAGTGATTGCCCACACCATGAAAACTCCTAGAATTGTTCTTTCTGATCTGTTTGGCTGGTTCTTTCTCCAGCCTTGGGGAATTGCCCCACCTGCGTGTGCTGGTTAGTACTCAGATGAACACGTGGGACTCTGCTGATTTCCAGAGTCGTCTCTAGGCAGCCCTCTACTCTCAAGTGCTCTGTCCTGCAAGGTCTAGCAGCTTTAGCCTCCTTGAATTTCTAACTCCCCTTCAACTGTCGAGCTTTACCTGGGTTTTCATTTCCTTACTGCGACCTGGAAAGTCTCTCCAGGTAGTAAGCTGTGGTGGTTGTGGGCACACTTCATTTGGTTCCCATCTCTCAGGGATCTTTGTTCTTTGCCTGATGTCCAATGTCTTGGACATAGTTTTGTCAGATATTTTGTCTGGCATTTTCAGTTGTTGCAAGCAGGAAGGTAAATCTAGTCCCTATTGCTCCATCTTGTGTAGAAACACTGGTCTGCCTTTCTACTCTGTATGTGGGTTACTGATTGCAACGAGAAAAAAAAATCAATATTGTTTGGTACCAGTATTAATCCATGTACTTCAAAGTCATTAGAAGGCTCTGAATGGTGCCTAATAATAATTGTATGTTTTCTTATCAGCTCTCTGTCTCATTCTCTGGAGTGTCTATTTAATATCTTCTCACTCCCCTCAAACCTCATTTCACCCATGTCACTCTTAGCAGACGACCCTGCCTCCTAACTTCACAGAAAAACAGAAGCCATCAGATGGGAACTTGCTCTACTTCTTGTGACCTAGCCTATCAATGTGCCTTCTTTGGCATACATTCTTTCCACTTCTTTTCTGTAATAATAGAGCAATGACCTTCCTTACATCTTGGACAAATTCTAATTCCTTTATGTGTTCTCAGAAGTTTCTTCTTTCTTCTTAGGGACTTTGCTCAATCGATTATATTTACTCACTCCTGAACCTTGAAAATCTTTTTACTATCTCCTTTACATTAGCATTGAAATGTTTAAGTGTCTCCTGTCTTTAAAGAAAAATCTCCACTTTGATCTTGTTTCTCCCCTGCCCTCCCCTCTCCTCTATGGTTATCATCTTTTCTCAAAGCCAGATTTCTTGAACAGGTTGTGTGCATTTCTTTGTCTATTTCTTTAATGCCATTTACTTCCTAACCAGCTGCAACCTAACTTCAGTGTCCTTTATTTTCCTGAAACTGTGCTTACCAAGGTTGCTGACTTCCTTTTCTGGTGAACATTTTTGGGTTCTTAAATTGTCTCTGGATCATTATTTTCTATGCCTGATTACAAAACCCCATTGCCTAAACATGAGAGGAATTTGTTAAAAATACAGGGACGGGAGCTCTGACCTCTGTGGATTATGATTTAGTAGGGCTGGCATGGGGCTCCAGAATCTGATTTTTTTTTAAAAAGCCTCAGTGTGCAGCCAATTTTGAAAAACACTGTTCTCTGCAATATTTAACACTATTCTTTTCTAACCTAACTGTTCTTTGGGTATCATTAGATATCATAGACTCTTTCTTGAAACATTTTTCCTCGACTTCCTTGGCATCACTTTTGCCACTCTCCTCTCGCCCCATCCCCACCTCCTCTCACCATACATACATCTTTTGCCATTCTTCCTTAGTCACCATTGGAAGATCCTCTTTCCTGATGACCCCTGGAAAGTTAATGTTCTTCAGGTTATTTTCTAAGCCTTCTCTTAATCACTCTGTATGCCTCCCTGATAATCATTCCCAAAATCCAGTTATCTTTAAGTTGATCATTCTTAAATCTGTGTCTAAAGTCATCTCTTTCATCTCTGATTTTTATATCCAGCAGCCTTGAATGTCCCATAGACAGCTTAAGTTCCATATGTTCAAAATGAAACTCTTCTCTTTACCCCCTAAAACATGATTTTCCTCTTGTGTTCTCTATTTGAAGTAATGTCGCTAGTATCCACCTAGATGCTCAAGTTCCAAGCCTAGGAAAGAAACATTCTTATTCCTCCTTTTTCTTCAGAATTGCAAATGCATTTTTTGCTTAGCAGTCCTGTTTTAATAATGTATCCTACAGACATACCTGCATATATACAGAGCGACTATGTGCAAGGTTATTAATTGTAGCATGTTTTGGAAAAACAAAGGATAAGAAACAATTCTAGTATCCATCTGTAAGAGACTGAATAGATAAGACTATGGGACATCCTTACATTGAACTACTGTAATGTGGCTATAAAAATGATTAAGGAAGCTCTCTATGGCCTGAAAAGATCTCAAGGATATGATGTTAAATGAAAAAGCAAGAAACAAAATAGCATATACAGATTTCTTATTTCTGATTTCTTTGGGTTTTGGAATATTTGCATTATACTTACCAGTTTAGCATCCCTAATCCAAAAATCAAAAATCCAGAATGCTGTAATGAGCATTCCTTTGAGCATCATGTTGGCATTTTAAAAGTTTTGGATTTGAGGGCATTTTGGATTTTTAAACTAAGGATACTCAACCCTCAATGAGGGAGACAAATCATATGTATATTTGCATAAACATTAGAAGGATGCATAAGAAACTAATGAATCATGTTACTATTAAATATTTAAAACTTAGGGCCAGGCACAGTGGCTCATGCCAAGTACTCTGGGAGAATAAGGTGGGAAGATCACTTGAGGCCAGCAATTCAAGACTAACCTGGGAAGTATAGTGAGACCCTGATCTACAAAAAATAAGAAAATTAGCCAGGTGTGGTGGCAACTACCTGTAGTCCTAGCTACTTAAGAGGCTGAGGTGGGAGGATTGCTTGAGCCTAGGAGTTTGAGGTTACCAGTGTACTCCAGCCTAGGTGATTGAGTGAGACCCTGTACCAATTAAAAAAAAAAAAAATCAGATGCGAAGCTTCCTATAGAATCATGTTTAAGTTCAAACTAAGCTAGGCTGAGAGCATGTTCTGAATCAATGTTGTATATATTTAGGTTTTTGGTGTTAGGAAGATCTCCTGTTTTCCCTTGTGATCACATGCCAACCTTTAGTTAGTATCTTACGTACCTTGCTTATATATAACAACCACTATTCTTTCCAGTTTCCTCTACTGTAAGTAATATCTCTTAGTTCGAAACTACATGTGGAATGTTTGCAATTGACTTTCCTCATTTCCATTATACTGACAAGTCTGATGTTTTCTGTTCTTAGCTTTTGGTTTTATTTGTTTGGTTTTAGGAATGATTTTTTCTTCCATATGATAGTGTAGCATTAGAGATTATCCGGCTATCCAGTATATCTGTTTAAGACACTCCTCCACTGTTAAAGAGGAAATGTATTTATTTTCAAGGGTTTTGGACAATTGGTACTCTTTTATTATCAATTTAAAGTCTAGAAACTCAAAATTTGCATAATTGGAATGATTTATAATTAACATAAATATGCCTTGCTTTCTTAATTTCTGTTTCACATGCATTTAGAGAAGCTTTTTATAGGGGGGCAGAATCAATAAGGGTGTATGTATCAAGAATAGCTTACTTTATGATTAACAAACCTAACATGTATGGTAACTGAAAATTATGTGTGTACATTTTTAGCATTCTTTCAAAACAAGTCAATTACCAAGGCAACTTAAAAGAATATAAAATGCTAGTATTTTATTATAATTCTTTTTATGTTATTGCTTTTATTGTTTTCAAAATATTGAAAGTTGGCTATAATACTTAAATTTAAAAAATTGACCATAGTTCTTTATTTCACTCTACAGTCCAATCACCAACTGTCTGCGGTTTGTTTGTTTTCTAAAGGTGTTCTTAAGGATTATTTAAGAGAACTCCCTTCTCCTCTGATAACAAAGCAACTTTATGAGGCTGTATTAGGTGCAATGGCAAAAAGTCCTTTGAAAATGTCATCAAATGGTTGTGAGAATGACCCAAGTGACTCTAAGTACACTGTTGACCTGCTGGATTGTCTGCCTGAGATTGAGAAGGTAAGCATTATAGGTATACATTTTTCCTGAAAGCCAGTTAATGAACTATATACCTAGCTCCAGAGCTACAGATAATTTTAGATATTTAACATTTGTGGCACTCATGTATTTAAAAGCTCTGCCATTACTGCCTTTAAACAGCCTAAGTCCGTAAAAGCTTCTTAAACAGAATAAATCTAGAAAACAATTTTATCTTTTCTGTATGTGATTTTAGCCTAAGCATGAATAAATACTCACTAAAGTGTTTTTAATTGTATTGTTAAAATATTATTACAATATTTGTTCATTATAGTAATATTGAAAAGATACAGAAAAGAAGAATGTAAAATTGCAATCATCAATATCCAGAGGCAGCTATAATTAACATTTTGGTGTGTCTCCTTTTAGTATTTTTTTAGATATGATAACTATTTTGGTGTATATGGCTTAACTTTAAGACAAACAACAGCCCCCGCCCCCTGTTTTTTTCCTCCTTATCCTTTCCATTTGCCCCCCTCTCCAAAATCTTCAGACCAGCATCCTCAGGTATGCCTGTAGGAGAGAGAGAGAAGGATAGGTAGGTCTTCAGAACCAGCGTTAGCCTAACTTTATCTGTTGTTCCTTAGAATATAAGAGAAAATAGGAGAAAGATATGACTGGGCTTATCTAGATGAGGCCAAATTTGCCTACTCTTTTTTTTTTTTTAATCATGTTGGGGCAGAAAGAGCAAGAATTAGTGGGTAGAAACTGTAAGTCCAGTAACTTTATTTGCAAGTTTACTGTAGTCCCCTGAATGTCCTATGCTCTGTCCAGTTGAATTAACAATTACTCCTCCTTTGGATTAGGGGAAGGGAACAGCTAAAGAGTGCAGAAGCAGAAGGGTGGGGTGAAGTTTAAGGGGGTGGGTGGAAAAAGTAGAGATACTGGTTTCCTAACACTAGGTAAAAAAAAAAAAATTTTTTTTTGAAGATGGAGTCTCACTCTGTTGCCCAGGCTGGAGTGAAGTGGTGTGATCTTGGCTCCTGCAACCTCCACCTTTACAGGTTCAAGCGATTCTCCTACCTCAGCCTCCTGAGTAGCTGGGACTACAGGTGGGCACCACCATGCCCGACTTATTTTTGTATTTTTAGTAGAGACGGGGTTTCACCATATTGGCCAGGCTGGTCTCAAACTCCTAACCTCAGGTGATCTGCCCGCCTTGGCCTCTCAAAATGCTGGGATTACAGGCATGAGCCACCATGCCCAGCAGTAGGTAAAATTATAAGTGCCACTTCTAAGTGAAGAAGTGAGTGTTAAGATAATTTAAATCACTTGCCGAAAGTTACATAGCTTTTGTGAATATTATAGTCTATCACATGAATTCAAGTCTTTCTGACCCTAAGGCCCATGCTATTACCATCCTTTCTAAAAAGACTGAGTAAGCCTGGGCTGTATGGTGAAACCCTGTCTCTACAAAAGTTACAAAAATTAGCTGGGCACAGTGGCATGTGCCTGTGGTCCCAGCTACTTGGGAGGCTGAGGTGGAAGGATGGCTTGAGCTCAGGGAGGGCTACAGTGAGCCAAGATTATGCCACTGCACTCCAGCCTGGGCGATAGAGCCAGACCTTGTCTCAATCAATCAATCAGTCAATCAGTCAATAACTGTATGATATACCATTGAGTGGACTTGACAACATACTTTATCAGTATTCTCTTTTAAATATTTAGATTTTGAGTGACTTGTAAATATTTGTACACAGATTTATTTTAGTTTAGAATTATTTAGAATAGAATCTCAGAAGTGGAATTGCTTATTTAAGTAATATAAACATTTTAAGGCCCTTATATGTTTTCATACTAATTTTCTTTCTTCGTCTTTTTTTTTTTTTCTGTTTTTTTTTTTTGTTTTTGTTTTTGAGACAAAGTCTCACTTTGTCTCTTAGGCTGGAGTGTGGTGGTGCAAATGCAGCTCACTGCAGCCTCGACCTTCCCTGCTCATGTGATCCTCCTGCCTCAGCCCCCCAAGTAGCTGGGACTATGGGCGTGTGCCGTCACCCTCAACTAATTTTTTTTGTATGTTTTGTAGAGACTGGGTTTCATCGTGTTGCCCAGGCTAGTCTCGAACTCTTGAGCTCAAGCAATCCACCTGCCTTGACCTCCCAAAGTACTGGGATTATAGGCATGAGCCACCACGCCCCGCCAGACTAATTTTCAAAAGGAACATGACAATTACATTTTTTGGTCCATCTTATTTAGTAGACAAAAAAAATTTGCATTCCTTTGCTTGCTACTGAGATTGAACATATATTTAACCAGGTGTAGTGTGTTGTTTGTGTCTGTGTGTGTGTATGATCACAATTATTGCTGGAAATACCCTTAAGAGGCCAACGTATATGGAGTTGTGTTAGGAAATAATTATGAATTAAAAAAGGAAATATTCATATATTTAACTTGTTTTGATTTAAAATGCCATATTCTTCTCTAGCTTTCATTCTCTCTTCATTCCTTCCCTTCACAGCCAAACACTGAAAGGCTGTTTATTCCGGCTGTTATCGTTTCATCACCACTCGTTTTACTACTCAGAACATTGCAATATGGCTTCCTACCTCATCTCTCTGGACTTGTTCTTGCCACAGCTACTAAATGACCTTCTGACCAGCAAATCCATTTGTTACTTTTGGCTCCAGAAATAATGTTATTTTGATTTTTCTTTAAATAAGATTTTTTTACCAGCTTAGACAACAAAGTAAGACCCTGTCTCTACAAAAAAAAAAAAAAAAAAAAAAAGTTTTTTTTGAGACAGACTCTTGCTGTGTCGTCCAGGCTGCAGTGCAGTGGCATAATCTTGGCTCACTGAAACCTCTGCCTCCCGGAACAAGTGATCCTCCTGCCTCAGCTTCGTGAGTAGCTGGGATTACAGGTGTGTGCCACCACACCCACCTATTTTTTTTGTATTTTCAGTACAGTCGGGGTTTCATCATGTTGACCAGGCTGGTCTCGAACTTGTGACCTCAGATGATTCACCCGCCTCGGCCTCCCAAAGTGCTGGGATTACAGGCGTGAGCCACATGCCTGACCTACAAAAATTTTTAAAAAATTAATGGGTATGGTGTCGCATGCCTGTAGCCTGAGCTACTTGGGAGGCTGAGGTGGGAAGATTGCTTGAGCAGGGAAGGTCGGTGCTGCAGTGAACTGTGATCATGCCACTGTACTCCAGCCTGGGCAACAGAGTGAGACTCTGTCTCAAAAAAAAAAAAAAAAATTAAAGTTTTTAATTGGCATCAATGTCTTCAATACAATTTTGAAGAAAAAATTACTTATTTTGTTAAATGATTGATCATATGCTACTACCTCAAAAAACATCATTTCTTTCCATAATTGTTGAAACCTAAATAACCATTCTACTTTTTGAGTCAATTACTCTTACTAGTTTCTTTAAGGATTAAAAAATATTTTCAGCAATTTTTTTTCTTTCATTTCTGACTGTACTATTCTTCTTAAGGTTTATTTACTTAAAAAAAAATATATATATATATATATATAAGTTAAGAAGCATATTGGCCTTTTAAAAATGTCTTTCATAATCCAAATCATTATAGAACCTGGCCATGTTCTGGAATGGTTAGCTTCCTAGATTTAAGCATGATAGTGATTACAAGTTACAACTACAGGACTTACCTGTACTTAAAAATGAACATTCTTACCCTAATCCCCTTTGCATCAGAGCCTTTGCTGTTGCCATGTTAGAAGAGACAGAGTTAATGGATGTATTTTCCCAGGGATTCCAGCTGAAATCTGGAGTGCATTCATAAGTATTTTATAAAGAATGTATATTTTAACCATTTAGTGGATTGTGTTGTTGGAACATAATTGTGTTTTTTGTTTTTTTTTTTGTTTGTTTTTTTTTTGACAGTCTCATTCAGCCACTCAGGCTGGAGTGCAGGGGTATAGTCTTGGCTCACTGCAACCACCATCTCCCGGGTTCAAGTGATTCTCCCAGCTCAGCCTCCCGAGTAGCTGGGATCATAGGCAACCACCATCATGCCCGGCTAATTTTTGTATTTTCGTAGACATGGGGTTTCACCATGTTGGCCAGGCTGGTCTTGAACTCCTGACCTCAGGTGATCCTCCTGCCTCGGCCCACCAAAGTGCTGGGATTACAGGCATGAGCCACTGCGCCCGGCTGGAACATAATTTAGGCCCCATATAATGTTTCTATTAGAAACTATGTTGTAGGTTCCAAACATCCAATTTATAAGCAAATCTTTGAAAAAAATCTTCTTAAAAGTGACAAGATGTTCATCTGTATTTTCTGCTATAAATTGTGTCCTTGAATTTGCCCCTTTAGGACTATATTAATTGAAATTTAATTTAATTTAGGCAACCCTAAAGATGTTGTTGGATCATTTGAAATTGGTGGCTTCCTATCATGAAGTGAATAAGATGACATGCCAGAATTTGGCTGTGTGCTTTGGACCAGTGTTATTAAGTCAGAAGCAAGAGCCTTCATCACATAACAACAGAGTCTTTACTGATTCAGAAGAACTTGCAAGTGCTTTGGATTTTAAAAAACACATTGAAGTTCTTCATTACTTACTCCAACTCTGGCCAGGTAAATGATTCTATGGAAATATTTTTCACTTTCAATGATAGGGTATTTGAATTAACTAATCATTAAATATGCTCATATATGATTGAAGAAACTCTTCTAGATTTTGCTTTTTCAAAATGTGATTTGATGCCTGCCCTTTAGATTTTTTTTCATTTAAATATTTTCTGCCTTTGCTGATGACATCGTAGGCATGTAGATTAATGTGCACATTTTAGATTTGGTCAGATCTAGATTTAAATCCTGGTTGTGCCACTTATTAGCAATCTGACCTTGGGCTGGTTTCTTAACATCTCAGAGCCTTGTATCATCTTTTGTCATATGGATTTAATAATATGTTTATAGATTTTATATTAGGATTTTAAAAAATTGTATATGTAAAGTGCTCAGCATAGCTCTTGACACATAATAGAGACTCAATAAACACTAATTTATTTACTTTTCTCATTTTTAGTTCAACTGGTATAAAGCAGAATTCATTTTTCTCCTTAAATCAGTTCTTCTTTACGTCTTTAACTGCATTCATGGTCATTAGTCAAATTATCTCAGCTTGAATTGGGAATTATCTTTGACCTTTCCATCTTATCCAATCCTTATTCCAATCAGTAACTAAAGACTGACAGTTGTTTTCCTAATTATCTCTGATATGGCTTCAGAGCTAAAAGAAATACGTATTTAACTAGACATTCTGTAAAGGACCCTGCATTTAAATTCCAAAATTTTCTTAGCTTTTAGTAACCCCTGCTACTCTCACCCCACACTGCACAGGACCAAGTGTGAAGTACTTTGGTGCTTCGTGTAGAGCACACTAGTAACCATGCCTGGCCCTGGGGTCAGGCTTGGGTTCAGATCTGGATGGTGACACTTGCCGGCAGGGTGGGCTATGGCAAAAACTTTAACCTCTTCAACTCCCATTTTGCTTCTCTCTAAATAATGCCTGCCTCAGGGTTGTTGTAAAGATTGAGATAAAGCATCTAAGGCAATGAGCAAAATGTTTAGCACAAAGTGAGCACTCAGTCAATGTCTTCGGTTACTCTTTTGTTGTATTTGTATAGACAGAAAGATTAAAGTACAAGGGAATGCTTGATTTCATCAGTTAAAGTGAATTAAAAATTAAGTTAATAAAAATTTTCCAGCATTTTGGGAGGCCGAGGCAGGTGGATCACAAGGTCAGGAGTTTGAGACCAGCCTGGCCAACATAGTGAAACCCTGCCTCCACTAAAAATACAAAAAAATTAGCGGGGCATGGTGGTAGGCACCTGTAGTCCCAGCTACTTGGGAGGCTGAGGCAAGAGAATCGCATGAACCCGGGAGGCAGAGGTTGCAGTGAGCCGAGAACGCAACCTCACTCTAGCCTGGATGGCAGACAGAGTGAGACTCCGTCTCAAAAAAAAAAAAAAAAATCAATGTTAAAATTTGGAAAGTTAAAGCTTTTACTTTCTTTTAAATGCAGGCTTAAAAATTATTCTAATTTATGTTTTAACTGAATTAGAATGTTATTTTAACTATTTTAAAACCCTGAATCAAGATTATCTGGGTAATTGAACTGATTTCAGCATTTGATGCCCAATGTAAGGGATCTTTCAGAGTGTCAACTGTGTCTCCTTTTTCTAGAACAGCTTTAATTCTAATAAACACCAAGAATTTGGGAGAAAGCCATCTTGTCATTACCACAAATGAAAACTTGCTTTCCTGGAGATACCATTAAGTTTACTGTCAGTGTCTGAGTTCATTATTATTAATTATTAATTATTCTGTGCTAGAGGTTAAGGTCATTATGTTATTTTATAATAGTAGCCACCTTAGTTTTGGGTTTGGGAGAAAAAACTTAATGTGTATCTTGTGTTATAGAAAAAGCAGGTTCGGATTTCAAATTCACTGTATTCTAAAGACAACCTTAAATAGCTGTTCCTAGTGTACAGCACCTTATTCCAAAGATTTGTGGTGTTGGTTTTAAAAATAACTGCTCCTTTTTCTATAACCTGTTATTTTTCTTTAGTTGTAGTTCCTTAGACAAAGAACAGGGCAGAAAGATGAGAAGAAGCAAAAGTTTTACCCTGTCAATCACCTGCTGTTGAATTCAAGAAAAGGCAGAAATCAAGTAGATGAGGTGCACTTACTGGGCCTGAGAAAGTTGATGGTGACATAGAGAATGTGGCAAAGACTAGTAGGCGATAGCATATTAACTCAGCGAATGTCTATCCTATCTCCATGCATTCAATAGAAGGTTTTAGCTTTCCTTGCTATGCGTATCTTATTTTGCCATTTGGAAATTCTCCAATTCCAGAGTTAAAAAGAGTTACCCCCTTCCTATTTATTTTCTAAACTTTTTGTTTTGTTTCATGTTATTTTTTGTTTATTAATTTTGGGCAAGAAGATAATTTGCTTTGAGATTTATATTTGAAAAGTCCTATCTTCAAAGTAGTTAGTTAGAACTCTAGCATATCAGCATTAGAAGGTAAAAGTCATCCTGCCAATAGTCTTTTAGATTGTCTTCTACTGAACCCTCAGGATCTCTGGAAGCAGCTTAGAAGCCAGATCAGCAAGGGGTGGGGGAACAAAATGGAAACACACTTCCCCGTTGACCAGTACAGCCTTTTTAAAATCTGTTTTATTATTGAGTTTTCACTAAAATATTTATTTTAGATATTCATTTTCTGTTTTAAGAATACTGAAAATTACTGCTGGTACCCCTATCACTTTAAAGATGGAGAAATCAATTTAGAGTATAATTCCTAGATCCTTGCTATACCACATTTTCTTTCCTTTGTGCTTTTTTTTTGGGGGGGGGGGGGGGGGGGGGGGGGTCTCACTCTGTCGCCCAGGTTGGGGGGCACTGGCGCAATCTTGACTCACTGCAACCTCTGCCTCTTAGGTTCAAGCAGTTCTCCTACCTTAGCCTCCTGAGTGGCTGGGATTACAGGCATGTACCACTGCGCCCGGCTAATTTTTGTATTTTTAGTAGAGATGGGGTTTCACCATATTGGCCAGGCTGATCTCAAAGTCCTGACTTCAAGTGATCTGCCTGCCTCGGCCTCCCAAAGTGCTGGGATTACAGGCATGAGCCACAACACCTGGCCGCTATACCACATTTTCTATGACAAATATATTTGGGGCAAGTTTTTTGGAAAAGGTATCAATTTTTCTCTTATTTCTTTTTATTTCATCTTTCTTACTAGATTTTAAGTTTGGTGAGGTCGAGGATTATTTTTAACTTTATATTCCCAGGTCCTAGCAGAGTATTTGGCACTAACTAGACAGTCAGTATATTTTTGTTAAATAAGGTAATTATAGATAAAAGCATAACAAAGTAGTAATTAGAAACAAATCTACTGGTAGAAAACAAGATAAGGAAAAATTAAGTTTCTTAGTACTTATTATATTTTGAATTCTTTTTCAGCAACCTTATAGACTGCATTTTTAATTTTATTCTCTTGAAGGTGGGTAGTCAACAGTGATGGGAAAACCAGAACTTTTGAGGTTAAAATTAGCCATTTTCACCATATATTTAGTTGTAAACCACTCCGACATCAGTAGTCTAAAAAGTCAGTGATGTTGGTTTTTCAGAAATTGAAATTTTTAGTCTAAAAGATATAAAATATCAGTTTAATTGGTTTCTTAATATTTTCCAAGATAATATACAGAAATAATGTTTCAATATGGTCTTAGGTAAGTAACTGTAAGCAACTGGCAACAAAATGAATCTGGATTTTGTAGGCAAATGTCTGAAAATGCAGGCACAATAGGACAAGTTTAAGACATAAAGCAAAAATACATGGTTAGATCAGACCAGATAACCTCAAGGCTAGCAGAATATTGTAATTGGTTGGTGAAAACAACAGGCATGACAGTTAAGCACTAAAAAGAACAGGAATAGCACAAAGAATGAGGGGGAAAAAGTAAGGAGATAGTGGTGATAAGCAGCTAGAGGAGGAAAAATATGAATAATTACACAGTGGAAAATTCAGATATCCATTCTGCACTTATATCAGTTGATGGTATGGACCATTCCATCTTAATACTAACATTAAAGATCAATTTAAAGTAAATAACCTTTATTTTCTAGAAAATTTTAGATCAAGAAATTTTAGCTATCTATAGTGATACATAATAACCATCTTAAAAATGCAATAGAAATGTTAAAAACATACCTATGTACAGTTATCAAATATTTCAATAAAATCTAAATTTAAAAAAGTATGGGATCTCTGAAAAATGTTATGAATATCACTTTAAGTGTGGAAAACTAGAACCATATATATACTTTTATAGTTTTTTAGTTGTTTTATTTTATACAACAGCAAACAAGCATTATATGTTGGAGAGTATAAAGTTTGTGTATTATCACTGATTTATGTTGCTTTGTCTTAGTGAAGGGAAATAGAGATGAAGGGGCACTTATTAATGGAGAATAAACAAGCAGAAAGAGAAAGATATTATGGGTAGTCTTTAATAGCTATGTGTCAGCATTTTAAATTGTCTATTTTATATACAGAATAACCTTAGATAAATATTTTGTTCAACACACAAGAGTAAACCTTAGTTTGTAATGAAGTAATGTGTGTCTCTATGGTAATCGTCTATATGGCTAGCACAATGCATACTCTCAGAAGAAACTAGTCTTAATATGGAAAATGTTATTTGGGATTGTTAAATACCTAATCAGAATGAGAAAATAAAATATCTGTACTATTTCCAGGCAATAAATGAAGATAGTAGATAATGCTGTATAATCAAACTCAGGTAACAAGTGGTCAAATCTAGTATTTGCACATTTTATCAAAGTGAAATTTGGTCTGCTTAGTAAACTATGACTCTGCTGCTAATAGAATTGCAGAAAAGCCCACAAGGGTCAGAACTTACTAGGCTGATCACTTTAGATGCGTTTGCCTCATTTAGATGTTTGCAGATAAAGGAACTTCTTGTTATATTTTGTTTGTACACCAACATGCCTTGCCTGCTTTTTGCTGTAGCTTTTAATTTAGGAGAAGCTAGCAGCTTAGCTATTGTTTGAATTATAGCTAGATAATAATAAACTTGCACAGAAAATTAACTGACATTGGAAATGTGATTTGTTTGGGGACGTTATGATGTAGCATGAATTAGCACCATGGAACGTTATACTGCTTCTATCCTTAATCTAGATTATGTCTGGTAATACAAAAATAATTATGGAATGCTTTCTTTTGGTAGAGTGCATGTTTGTGTTTCAATGCATGTTTGTAGTTGATGATTAAATGGCTTATCTTTAACTCTGTTTTTTTTTAAGTTCAGTTGGATTACTGTCACTAAAGCAAAATTGTTGTTTGTTTCTAGTGCAGCGTTTAACTGTCAAAAAATCAACAGACAGTTTATTCCCAGAGCAGAAGTCTTCTCTGAATTATTTGAGGCAGAAGAAAGAACGACCTCATATGTTAAATTTGAGTGGTACTGATTCATCAGGAGTACTTAGGCCAAGGCAAAACCGATTAGACAGTCCACTTAGCAATCGTTATGCGGGAGACTGGAGCAGCTGTGGGGAAAACTACTTTTTAAATACAAAAGAAAATTTAAATGATGTGGATTATGATGATGTCCCTTCAGAAGATAGAGAAATTGGAGAAAATTATAGCAAAATGGATGGGCCAGAAGTAATGATTGAACAGCCAATTCCCATGTCCAAAGAGTGTACATTTCAGACATATTTGACAATGCAGACAATTGAGTCTACAGTGGATCGAAAAAACAATCTCAAAGATCTACAAGAAAGTATTGATACTTTGATTGGAAATCTGGAACGTGAACTCAACAAAAACAAGCTTAATATGAGTTTTTGAGATTGAGGGTTTTTCTGTTTTTTTTTTTTTTTTGTAATGTCTTAAAGTTTCAAATCTGTTTTTCTTTGCTTTCTTTTCTTATACCACCCACAGTGATGTTTTCATTTTATTACTCTTGAAATCTTTAATTTCTAATAAGTTTATCTGATTCAATTAAAAACACTATTCATTAATATAATTTTTACTTACCTCCCTAGAAAACTTTTCTGGGGATCAATAAAACTTGGACATCTTGGGCTATTTTACTAAATCTTGCCAAGTATATGGAGATAACTTTCAAATGCACTTAAGAAGGTTCACATAAGTTATTATCCCCTCAAGGTTTTTCTGCTTTATGGGAACCACTCTTCTGTAGCTGAGACAGATGTTCTTTTTTTGCTGTTTTTTGAGACGGAGTCTCACTCTGTCACCCAGGATGGAGTGCGCTCGTGCGATCTCAGCTCACTGCAACCTCCACCTCCCCAGTTCAAGTGATTCTCCTGCCACAGCCTCCTGAGTAGCTGTGATGACAGGCGCCCACCACCATGCCCAGCTAATTATTGTATTTTTAGTAAAGACAGGGTTTCACCATGTTGGCCAGGCTAGTCTCAAACTCCTCAGGTGATCCGCCCACCTTGGCCTCCCAAAGTGCTGGGATTACAGGCGTGAACCACCACACCCGGCCTTTAGATGTTCTTTTAGAGGAACATCACAGCTGCTCAGTCTGATTTGCAGTACGGGTTCTGGTACACTGCAACATCCTTTGGTCACATTTGTAATGCAAATGCTGCTATAAGAAAATCTTTTTATAAATAAAAGTGAAATTATACAAGTATTAATGTATTCTGTATTAACAGTCAGTAATTATTTAAGCTTATAAAAATTAAATATTTTTATAATCCTGAAACTATGTACATATTTATAAATGCATATAGGTATAGATATCAGGATGGGGGAGGGGTTACTGTAGAATCACATGTATTTTTAAAGTATATATGTCATGAGACCAAAATTATTATCTTAAAATGTTTTTATCAGGGAGAGAACATTTGAATTAAAGGAGGAATTACATAAAAACACCTGAACAAAAATATTCTAGAAGCATCTGAATAGAAATAATAGACTTTCTTTTCTTTATTCACAGAAAGTCATGATGTCCCCTGTGAAAAGTCATCTTTTAAATTTGAAATCCTCTAACTCCTTAAGGGATTAAATGCCCAGATTTCTGCACTGGTGACTTAGATTTAATAAATCTGCTCCTGTTCTATGCATTTTTATATTCCGCTTTGTTTTAATTATTTATTTGTAGTAGTACATTTATAACATTGACTTTATAATTACCCCATTTGTTTCTAAATAAATTGTCTTGCTAGTGTATTACATGTTATTGATTTTTTAAAATTAACTTATTTTGGCTAAGTATATATACAGTGTTATAGCAATCACAGTAATGTTTGAAAATGTAAATTTAGAAGGCTTTTGTATTAAATCAAAATGTATTTTTTTAAACTTTTATATCTACAAAATATGTAATTTTAAAATTATAATTAGACTTTAAATTACCAACTTTTAAGATATGCCAGTCATTGAAAAACTTCCTGATGTTTTTCTGAATATTAAAGTACTTAAACTGTTTCTATGCAATAAATATTGATAAACAATCTTATTTAATTTGAAAATCCATTGTTAAAAAATAAATATTTTTATATGAAATTTTCATTTTTTAAAACTTTGTGTTAACAATTCAGAAGAGAATACCAAGAGAACATATATGCTGAGTAAACAGTCAAAGGAAAGTACTCTTGAATATTTAATAGGAAAGCTGTCTCAGTTTCCTTGCTTTTGTTACTCTATCATGTATGAATTGAATAAATTGTTCCAGAAATGTAAAAATTTTATTAAAATATTATAATCTTCGTGTTATGCTATTAATTATAATGGTTTTAAGGATCACTTAATGTTAATATTCTTTTTAAACAAAGGTGTTAAAGTTTTGGACCATCATGTATTATCTATCAATATATGTAATAACATTTATTTGTCCAAAATTTTCCAGAATCTGAAATACTTTAAGGGCCATGCTCGTATTACTGTATTACTATATTATTTTGGGTGAGAATAGTTTTAAAGTTGATCTCTGCCATCTTAGAGAATTCTAATCAGTTTTTTGTTGTCTAATCACCGAGTTATAGCTATAAACTGCTTTTATGACTCTGCTGTCCCAGAAGTGTTGTATAAGTTTAGATGTCTTTACTTTAAATGGCATTTTACTTCAAATATTTTTTGAGAGTTTTTATACCTGCTTTTTATTATTTCCTAGGGTCTTTCTGTAGTGTCAAATGTTGTTCCTTTCTGAGCCTGCCAGCTTTAATTTTTCTTTTCTTTTCTTTCTTCTTTTTTTTTTTTTTTTTTTTTTTTTAAATAGAGACAAGGTCTCTGTATATTGCCCAGGCTGGTCTCAAATTCCTGGGCTCAAGCGATCCACCCACCTCAGCCTCCCAAAGTGCAAGGATTACAGGTGTGAGCCACTATGCCCAGCTTCTAATGTTTTTTAGGATTAAAAACAATTTTAATTTTAGAGCATGTACCTGAATAAAAATTCTAAACAATTCAGATGGATAGAAAATAAAAGTACAAGTGTTTCTGCCTGCCATCCACACCAATTTCACCTCTTAGAGGTAACAGCACGTTTCTTGCTGCTATTTCTTATAATTTAAGCCGAATTTGTTGTTTTATGAATGATAAGCAGTTTATCTCACTTCATTCCTTCTCACCATTTTTGGTTTTAGTTCTTCATTAGTTCTCCTTTATAACTTCAGTTAATAATTTTTTTGATCCATTGATTTTAAATATATTTCCCTAACATTGAGGAAATGACCAACCTTGTACTTCCCTTCCAACTCATTACTGTCCTTTACCGCCTAACTTCTCTTAAGTTATACTATTAGTTTATATAATAAGTTTTAATAGATGTATAATGTTTTCCCTTTATATTGTATATTTATTTGTATATTGTATATACCATATACTGTATATTTATTCTAAAAACTGCAAATCAGTAACTAGCAGTCACACTATGCAAGAGTATGCACAGGTAAACCAGGTGATTTATCTCCTTCTATGTATCTATCTTATATCCTTAAGTCTGTGCTGATTTAAGCAGAATGTTTTCACACATAAAGGCCAAATGGATTCTTTCATAGCAAGCCATCAACTTCCCCAAATCATGCCGTGTGTCATTTGCTACATAATTGGGTCATGGCTTCTGCAGATTTTAATGGTTCCTGGAGTACGTAATTGCTTTTCTTTCTTTCTTTTTTTTTTTTTAAATCTTCAAATAGAGACGGGGTATTGTTATGTTGCCAGGACTGGTCTCAAATTTGTAGGCTCAAGCGATCCTTTCCGCCTCGGCCTCCCAAAGTGCTGGGATTACAGTGTGAGCCACTGCATCCAGCCTGATTTTCTTTCTTGACAGAAGAAAAATGCTTGCTTTACTGTAGCTTCTTTTAATCAACTATTGAATTACCAGATTTGTTCAGAGTGCTTTTAGCTCTCATCATGAGATTCCAGAACTATATTCTCGTCTTTATTTTTCTTTGACAGAATTGACAGGAAGAAAAAAAAACATGTTCTTCACTCTAACCCCGAGATCATTTTATGCTTCTTAATCAGCTTCATCAAATTTGGACAAAGTGATTTTTAGCTGTCATCTCGGGATGTATTTCCTTTGTACTCCTTTTTGTTGTTGTTGTTTTGCCACACTCTTTCTTGAATTTGTCTTTTCTGTTTGCTAAAGTATATTTACAGGTGCCTTTTTTTCCCCTAGAAAGGATGCATGGGAGATAAACTAGGAGTCCTTGTGTGTCTGACAAGGCCTTTATTTTTTCCTCACACTTTATTTTTATTGGGCCTGCAGCTCTAGGTTCAAACTCATTTTTCTTGAGAATTTTGAGGGCATTTCACTATTACCTTCAAGCATCCAGTTTTGCAGTAATCTGGGCTAGAAAGATTCAGACCAGGATAGAAACAGTAGAGATGGTGAGATATGGTTGGATTCTGAATATATTTTGAAGCAAGAGCTAAAGGAATCTGCCAGTGGACTATGAAAGGAGTAGGGCCTGAGCAGCTGAATGATGGAGCTCCTTCAAATGAGATTGAAATGACTCCATGTTTTTTCAGTGAGTTCCTTCTATTGGATATTGTTAATACAGTAGTTATTAAAATGTCTTATAATGTCCTGTTAACGATTAGTACTAATGCTTCTGTACTTCGTGATGGTGCTCATAGAGTTACTACTAGAATAAGAAGGCCAGAAGACTTCATATTTGTCTAAGTAAAGTCCCACATAATAACTGTCTAGAAAATTCCAGATTATGTAGCTTTATATGTTAGGGGGTCCCTGAAAAGAATTTAGTCTCCAGACCACAGATTGACTTTGATGGTTAGGATTTTATAAATACATCAATTTTTAGGTACTTTGGCATGATAAAGTTGTATTATGATTAATAATAGCAAGTCTTGATTTGAGGCTTACTCACCTGAGGACTTTGGTACAAAAATGCTCTTTTGCTCTTTTTCCTGACCAATTTTCATTCTGAACGCAATAAGGGCCACATTTGATAAACACTGAAATGCCACAAGTCACATTTCTTGATTGCATTCTGCCTCAGCCAGAAATGGACTTGCTAACTCAGGCAGAAATTGAATTATTGAGAAAATAGTGTATCAGAAGGAAGACTTTTGGGTGCTGAAAGTCTTTTATATTTTCGTCCAGGTGGTGGTTTCATAGGTGTTTACATATCAGGTTGCAGCCTTAAGATTTGTGCCCTTTATATGTCATCCCTCTATTTTTTTAATGGGAAAGCTTGAGAAATAGACTTGGAGAATAAACACAAACTAAGAGGGGCTAGGTTGTCAGAATGACAGCAATCAAGGCTGTGCCTGGTTACGACGCTGCTGTTGCTGTCACTGTCACTAAGCAGCCCCACGTTCTCCCCACTGGAGTGAGTTACAAAACATCCTCACTCTGCGTTATTCCTGATTGAGAGTTCCGGACAGAAGCATGAGTTTGTACTCCAGCTTCCAGGAGGCAGAGAGGAATTAGCTTGCATCCTTTCTTAGAACTTACATAGTAAGTAGATTCTATGACTGCAGAAGGAGATTTGGATGCTGAGCTGGCAAAACAGTGACACACACAACACTTCCCTAATCTTCCATCTGAACCCTGTTTCTCCAAAATTGGAGTCTTTCTTACCCCGTCCCCCCAGTATATCCCAGCCATCAACAGGTCTGAGTGCTGTGTGTCTGAAACTGTATTGGAGTTTGTCACTGCTAACACACTAGTCCAAGCCACCATCATCCCTCAATCTCCTAGTTCTTCTCTGCTATCACTCTCCCCTCTCCACACCCACGATCCAGTCTCTTCATGGAAGCTAATGTGAAAAAGATAAACTGCATCATTTCCTAGGCCTTCTCCCTTGTTGCCCAGCTCTAGCAACACTGGGGACCCTCATTCCTGTCTGAGGCTCTCTGCTCTTGTCATTGACCCTGTCTGGAAAGCTCTTTATCCAGATGTTAGGTAGCTCCTTTTTGTCATTCGCTTCTCTGCTCAAATGTCACTTCAAAGAGCCTGCTTCTGAACAGCCTGCTCTGAGAACAAGGGGAAGAAGCAGATGGAGATTTCTGTTTCTTGTAACAAATGCTATTAATAAACACTTATGGTACTATCTGACTAAACTGCAGGTATTTATCACTTTGGTAAATGTTTACATTTAAACCAAATTTAAGAAAAATATTTGAAGAACTACACCCACATCCATTGTCACTTTTTGTCATATCACCTGGGCTTATTTTCATCAAGGCTTTATCATTATTTGAAATTATCTCATTTATTTGTTGATTCATTTATTGTCTACGTCCACTCTTCTAGAATGTAATCTCCATGGCAGCAGGGACTTTGTATATCTCGTTCATTGCCATATGCCTAGGGACTATAACATAGAAGCTGTTCAATTAATTGTTAATCAGCGAATGACTGTAACAAGACTTGAGAATGGTTGTCTTTTTGTTAGGAAAAGACTAAGTATTATAATCACAATGTCTACATAATTTTAAAAATATTCGCTCCTGAGTAATAAATTATTTGTGGTTAAGAGAGTAATGTTATTTCTTTTTAAAAAAACGACTTGTCTTTTTTTTGTAGTTAAAATGGTGTTGGGAAAATTAGTGACTACAAGTAGGTGGGTGGGTAAATTTGGGATGATTTTTTGTATTTCTTTGCTGCAGAATGCAGTCTAAACATTTCTGTGATATGTATATGAAAATGCACATCTCACCGTAACAAAGGAACATCTTTAAGAAATATTTTGTTAAAATGCATCATTTCTTTATAGAAATCATAAAGAGCAAAATATATCCTCTTAGTTTTGACCTGATTTACTTCATATACACTTTCTCTGGAACTGGAAAAAACTATTTTTCATTTTGTTAAAATATTTTCATAAAACTTAAATGAACCCTGTAAGTAGAACTCTTCCTTATTAGAAAAAATAGCAGAGAAACCACTTTGAGGGACAGGCACTACATTTAATGTTTTTATTTTCCTCAATGCCAAGTGTTTGTTTTAAGCAAGTGAGAAAATGCGTAAATATTGGCCTTGGGTTAGGTTAACTTCATTCTTATTTGTTTCATAAGGCCACTTGACATGCTTTTAAGTTATTTGGGTTAATCTTGCCTTTTTGCTTAATGGAGGCATAGATGTGGTAGAAACTTGGTGTTGCCCTCTATTTTCTATATACTTTGGAAATTCCACTCTTCAAAATAATTTTCCAAAGAGAGTTTAAAATTTCAGCTTCAGAAAAGTGCAATCCACATTAAATGAAGAAACAGGAAAGCCCCTCACATTCAAGACTTTTTTTGTGTGTGAAAGTTAT